TTCTGTAAAATTTGGCAGAACAGAAACATTTAATTATAAAAGAAATTTCCAGTGTGCCTGAGCAGTGTCCACGCTTTATGTTGGTCCAGCACACAGCTATAGGCTCATTAGTGCAGCACACAACCTGTGAGGTCAACAATTTCCTCCATTATAAAAAAATTAGGTGTGCCACTTGCACCCCTGGCAACACAGCAAAATTGCAAAACTGATTCCCCAGGTGGATAAATCTTCCACCCAATTAATCTAATTTTTTACAGTGGTTCAAAAGGAATCTGTTTTAAATGAAAACGTAATGCTGCAATACTATGTTAAGAATCTGGCTCTCACCCATGTTTAGGTCAACTCATTATTCCATGAGTCTCAGAGCAAAGCAAGATTACGCAAATATGTTGCAGGTGATAACAGAAGGCCAACAAAGAACAGAATATCTGCTGTGTGTACACCTACCTTGCTTTATTCACTTCAGCTAGACTTTCACAGCTATTGTATGAGTTAGCCATTTTAATTGGCTTTCACTGATTATTTTTATTCTTTTTTTTCCTCTTTTTTTTTTTTTTTGGTCTGCTACAGGCTTAAATTCTTCAAGAGCCAGTTAGCCACACAGATCCAGCATATTCCATCAACTTAACACTTCATGCTGAATTTAACAACATTAAAGAATAATACTCAGCACATGTCAGAAGATATTTATGTAGCTGCGAAGAAAAATTTACAGGAAAATTCATTTGAATCCAGGAGCTTACCCACAGCCAAGAAAGTTTGTGTCAAATAGGAAGCGGAATAAGGAAGTATCATCTTCACCCTGCTGGGAGTGTTGCCAGTAAATGCAGTAGTCAACATGGATTCACCAAGGGGAAGTCATGTCTGACTAATCTGATAGCCTTCTATGACAAAGTAACTAGATGGGTGGATGAGGGGAGGGCAGTGGATGTTGTCTACCTTGACTTTGGCAAGGCTTTCGACACTGTCTCCCACATCATCCTCACAGGAAAGCTTAGGAAGTGTGGCTTAGATGAATGGACAGTGAGGTGGATTGAGAACTGGCTTACAGATAGAGCTCAGAGGGTTGTGGTTAGTGGCGCAGAGTCTAGTTGGAGGTTAGTAACAAGTGGTGTCCCTCAGGGGTCAGTACTGGGCCCAGTTTTGTTCAACATATTCATCAATGATCTGGATGAAGGGATAGAGTGTACCATCAGCAAGTTTGCTGATGACACAAAACTGGGAGGAGTGGCTGACACGCCAGAAGGCTGTGCTGCCTTACAGCGTGACCTCGCCAGGCTGGAGAGTTGGGCAGAAAGAAACCTTATGAAGTTCAACAAGGGTAAGTGTAGGGTACTGCACCTGGGGAGGAATAACCCCATGCACCAGTACAGGTTGGGGGCTGACCTCCTGGAGAGCAGCTCTGTGGAGAGGGACCTGGGAGTCCTGGTGGACAACAGGATGACCATGAGCCAGCAATGTGCCCTGGCGGCCAAGAAGGCGAATGGCATCCTGGGGTGCATCAAGAAGAGTGTGGCCAGCAGGTCGAGGGAGGTCATCCTCCCCCTCTACTCTGCCCTGGTGAGACCGCATCTGGAGTACTGTGTCCAGTTCTGGGCTCCCCAGTTCAAGAAAGACAGGGAACTGCTGGAGAGGGTCCAGCAAAGGGCAACAAAGATGATTAGGGGACTGGAGCACCTTTCTTATGAGGAAAGGCTGAGGGACTTGGGTCTCTTTAGTCTAGAGAAAAGAAGATTGAGGGGGGATCTTATTAATACATACAAATACTTAATGCCAGAGAGGTGGTGGGGTCTCCCACTCTGGAGACATTCAAAACCCGCCTGGACGCTCTCCTGTGTAACGTGCTGTAGGTGACCCTGCTCTGGCAGGAGGGTTGGACTAGATGATCTCCAGAGGTCCCTTCCAACCCTAACAATTCTGTGAATTCTGTGAATTCTGTGAATTGTAACTAGGTCTCAAAGATGGATCTCCAGCCCATTGGATTTTATGTCTTGCTTTTTTAACTCCTCAACAGACAAGATCTTTAATCAATGTTGTGAAAAAAATTTCTCCGTTTCAAAGATTTTTTGGGATAACCCACATTGTTATTTACAAATTCATCAGCACAAATGATTTTTTCAGTGTTTTCATATTGTTAGGCTATTTGTAAGGTATAATTACATTAAATGAGGAGTTCACTAATACATGATTTTCATTACATCAGGAAAAACCTCCTAGGACTTGGAAATAACTACATTTTTAATAGCATCTGATAGCACCATGAGGTATTGACTAGGATTGTGGCCAATGCGAAGATATGATCCATATGGTCTATTTATCATCAAGACAATCATTAAGAACACCTTCCTCATTTTCACCACTCTTAAGCATATGGGATCTACAAAGGCATAAGCAATTAGAGAAATAAAATTAAACTTTGTATTCAAAGTTATGGCAACTCTCTTCTGACTTCTGCATATGCCACATGAAATAAACCCAGACATACTGTGCTCAAAAGCGATATTTTGATATCTGCAAAGAATCACCTTCCACAGAGTTCTGGAAATATGCTATATGGTGGTTTTGCCCTCAGCTTGCCCAGTCTAACCTTCTTCCCCAACTACTCCAGTTGCACTATTTAATATAGGACTGTAGGATTTATACACAGTGGCCTGTATGAATCAACAACAACAAAAAAAACTCTTAAAAAATCTTGACTCAATCCTCTGGTTGTTAAAGTAATCACGAGGGGAATAGAAAAGCCAAATTTTTAGAAAAGGAAGACTTAAAATATTTTGTTTAGCAAATAGAATGGAGATAATATTAAGAGGAGACTGGAACAAAAAAGTGGAAAAAAGGTACCGTGGAAATTTGTTCCTGCTCCCAGCCTCAGACTTTCCCAACGCCTTTTGACTATCTATGCCAGGGAGACACTGCTGCTGCTTGCTTTTCCTCTCCGAATTCAAGCATTGGCATTCCGCCTGGCTGATAAAGTATGTCTCAAGGTTAAGAATACTTTTTCTTTCTTTTTAACTATAGTAATATTTCTGCCTGAATTTTGTAGTAAAAGACCTTGGAGAAAATGTTTGCAGTTAACTTCTTGTGCAAGCACCCTGAAAAATGAACCAAAACAACAGTGGAGCAATATTATAAAAATACAGAAATTATTCAGGTTTTGAACTTCACACATAAACTGTCTGGAAAGGAAAACGGTAATATATGAGCAGCAATAGTACTTTTAAAACAACCAAAGACACCTATACAGACATTTGGGTTTTATTTTTATAAAAAAAGATCAGATTTATTAGTGCCAATGTATGTTCATAGTAAGGTAACAGAAACTAAGCTAATCTGAGTAGCAACTTACATCAAAGGATATCAAAATAATATTTCTGTTAAGTGAAACATAATAGTTCGTTTAAACTTGATTCTTGCCAACTAGAAGTCCTTGTTATCTGTCTATGAAGCCTTTAAAGAAAAGTTGCTACAGTCAAACAGGGTCCTGACAGAACTTGGCACATAAAGAAACAATTCAATTTTCACCCATACAATACCTCTCACTCCCCTGGAGCACTCATTCATACAATACTTACATAATGCATATACATTATGACTAAAGCCATGTATGGCCTAAAGCACATAGAATATCTCAGTTCTACACGTAACATATCTCTACATCAAAAGCAGGTCACTGTATTTACAGCAGATGATCTTGCTCTGCAGATGGGGCTTTCACTTGAAGATCCTTTTGTTAGCGTATGCTAAGATGTCCAAGTCGTCGAATTATTTATCAAATTAGAGGTGTATCTACAGGAAGATCTGTCTGACTGTGTGCGAGGATTCTAAGGCAATAGTAGTAGTTGTTCCACAGGACTAGCACTGCCGTCGCAACCCGCTCTCCCTTGGAGCAGTAAAGCCTTCCTTCTCCAGATGCAGCCAGGCGTAGTGAGACATTCATGATCTGCAAGCTGTTGGCTCAAAAGTCTAAAACTTCTTGGTTTGTTTTTGTTTTTAATGTTCATGGAATAGCACCATAGGAATTCACTCTCGATAACAAACAAATCCTGGGTCTATTGTTTTGTTTTGCTTTTTTTGCCATCACAGATACTCTTACTCCCAGAAAAAAAAAAAAAAAACACCCTCTTTGGGATACTACTGCAGCTTCATTTCTGATTAGCTAAACCAGACATTAGCTAATTCGCAAAGAGGTCTGAAGAAATAAAGCTTAGTAGTGGTTCTAAATGTACTGCTAAAAACAAATTCAGTAGGAGGAGTTTCCGATGATCCTTGACTATTTCTGTTTCTCATGGATACAGATTTTGATTGGGGACAGGTTTTCACCTCAGTCTGTTTCTATGTTCAGTGCAAAATAAGAGCACATCATCAGAGATAGCTTACTTAGCCAGTAAAACAAACATTTTCAGATGTTTACACTGTTTAAATTCAGTCAACTAGTGATTGGTCAACTAGTGAGGACCGATGTAACAGTTCAGACTTTTCAGTCATTAGTAAAACAAAATACTCTAAAGATCAGTTATGTTTCAGAAGGAGGATTTTCCAGTTTCAAAACACTGATAACCTGATATGACAGACGAATTTGTAAAAAATACAGAACAATGCAGGAAGACCTTCCCACTTCATATCTTCTTTGAAGTCCTTCTACACAATGTATGCAGGATACAAAGTCAAAGCGACTAGATATAAGGACAGTATTTTGAGTGTGTGACCTGAAAGAGCTTTTTTTTCCTCCTGGACACCATACAATTGTCAGAAGGAAGAACAGTCTACAGGGTCACTTCCCCTGAACGCAACTGATTGAATCTGCACGCATCTATGACAAATGTCAAACCATGAACAAAAACTTTTATATTCTCCCTGCATGCAAAGTCCTTTCACAAGCTTTGCAGAGACAGTCAAGTATGGATCCCGCACATCATCATCTTGTCTATTCCACTGGGATAGGTGATTTGTTTTTTTAATTTTATTTCAGTCTCTGGTCTTACAAGTCGTCATTTCAACTGAATTCATATAAAACATTTGTGCTAATAACTTCAGTTTAAAAAAAAAAGACATGCCTTCCTTCCCTTCCACTGTGCGTTCATTCTTCCTCTCTCTCCTTTTCTGGCATAGAGGTTCTTGTGTTATTTTTTGGTGCGCACACTATCTGGGTATTTTATACTTCTGTATCGTATATGAAATCCTTTCTTGTTGATTGTATCATCAGTGTGAAAGTGAAGTAAAAGAGCTTCCCCTGCTGAATAAATTTCTTCTGGTGGCTAAAATAAATGAATAAACAAACAAATCATCCGTCCATTCTGCGCATTTATACCCTTCATTCACTTTTCTTTTTTTCTTACAGGTATTTCTCTTCTGTATTCAATTTGTACTGAGTATCTCTACAATCTTTTCTTATGAGACAAAGAGAACAAAGCTTCTTGTTCTTTTGTCCTTCCCAGATGTCTTCTGTAGTTCTTCTGGAGTCATATAAGTTACTAGGCAGGACTATACACAATATTCTAAATTTAGATAAACAAATGGCTTCAGTACGTATTTTCCATCTTATTCTTCATAGCCCTTATGATGGCCTGTTTTATTACTGAAGCACATTGATCAGAAGTACGAGCTGAACGCCCAAGTCCTTTTACTAATTTGAGAAGGTGGTAATGTATACTAACACTGCCCTTTTCCCAGTTCAGCTTGGATTATTTTGCTTTCAATAGCTTTTCTATTTAATTCCATCTCTCCTGCTTGCTTTGGAATGGCCTCTGAAGCAATTCATCCATATCTTACCAGAACCAAACCAAACCAACAACAAAAAAACCCAACCACCCTACCTACCGCCACCTCTTGCCCCTTCCCTGCCCCCCCAAAAAAGGGAAAAAAAAACAAAAAAAAACCAGGGTGAGGTTGGGCCATTCTACAGTTCGCTGCCTTCCTACTTGTAGGAAATAGGGCAACTTGCAAAGAAAAGCATTGTTTTGCATAAATGAGTAGATGCTGGGCTCAGTTGCAGCATTTTCCTGAGAATATATTGCCTACAGTTCAGTGGTAACACCTTTCCTGCATTTTTAAATGTTCATAAAACGCCCAAAAAGGATTTAAGCCATCTTACAGGTAACTTGTCTGAATGGCTGAGATGTTTGATCCAGCACTGTGGCTCAATCCAAAGTGTCACACAGTTAATTAAGAGCTCCTACTATCTCATGTAGAGCCTTTCAAACCTTTTATCTAGGCAAACAGTGTATGTACGAAAGTGTCCTTGCATTTGCACACATATAAACAAATGATGAAGGCTTGTGGAATCATTGCACCCGCTTTCTCAAGGCAGGCAGCCAACAGAACAATGTAAGTCTAAAAGGAGAAATAGGATACATCCTTTTCAGGATGTCACCCGGCCAATCTCCAGTTAAAATGTGTCAGAGATGCGTTTGAGGTGACTGGGCTTTCTTAAGGCCCATATTAATCACACAGTTTAGGAGCATTTTTTCCTAAAATCAGACTTAAGTAGTAGATAAGCATGTTATAAATGCTTCCCAAGCTCCCCTACCCTTGCAAAATGTGGCTTCTTCATTCAAACTGAAAAAATTTTGATGTGGTAATATTCAACACCAGTGCCTTTCTCTCTCTGTAAGGGAAAATGCTGTTAACTTTTTCTGGGGTGCTGTTAAACACTCCACTGTCTGCTACCTAAATCTTAACATAAAACTACAACACTTTCTTCAAAAACTAGAAAAGAATATTTATTGTTGAAAATATGTCAAGGGAATGCTTCTCCCACAAGTATGCAAATTTATATTAAAAAAGAATATCTAAAGCAGATAATCTAGTACCTGCATTATAAGGCATAGTAACTGAACCTCATCCCTTCTTGTCCCTTCACTTCCTCTGCCCTGTCTTTCTTTTTCTTTTTGTTGCAGAAATAAAAATAAAAACGTTAGTACCTGGTTACTTACCCCAGATCCACAAAATCGACCGAGCCTCACAGCTGTCTTATCGTGACCATCAAAGAGCTCCACATAATCGTAACCACAGTCTGCCTCTTCTTCAACCTCAAAAGTCTGAAACATTAACTCGACTCGATAGCCGCGCTCTGCCACCAGGAGCCAGTCGCAGTCTGCCTGAACTGGGTAGTTGTTATCACCAAACTGAGCATGCGAGTACAGATCTTTGGGCTTGGTTTCAGCTTTCAGTCGACCGCCACACTCTAAACAGAGGGGGGGGAAAAAGAAAAAGGATGAAGAAGCTTATTCAGTGCAACTTAGCATTTTCTTTTTATAGATACAGAGCCTTATTCAGGCTGAGTGCATTTTTATGCCACAAGCAGGTCAATCAAACAAGGTGTAGAGTGAAGTACTACCCAATATCAATACAAATCCATCATTCTGAGTTTTCCCTATATAAACTCTGTTTTATAACTACAGAAATTTGAGCATATTTCATAATTTTCAAGTGAAAGACCAAAAGGCAGGGAACACCAAAGTTGTAAGGAATGTGGTTTGAGAGGTAGCACATTCTTCAGGTAGTCACTTGAAGGTTCCTGTGGCCATCAAGGCAAGTGCTGTAAGTGGGGCAACCACATTTCAGTGGTGACAGCCTTTCCACATGGATTGTGGATTCCACTGTTTCCAAGTGGCAGGGGAGGATCGGCTCTCACATACGTGTAGCTAGTGATCACGTGCAAAAGTCTTGTGTTTCACAAGAGTGTCAGCTTTAACCATCATGCAGTGCCTTGAGAGCCAGCTCAATACTAAACCCCACTGCCAAGCTCACTAGCTTGTTTGCTGCATAGTTCATGGACAGGAACAGGTCTTTCTCTGCAAAAGATTGTGGCCAGAAGAAAGCAGTTACTACCAGAGAAAGTCTTGTACCTGAAAGCCTGCTCTTGAAGCGAGTCCTGAGCTAGAGATCCTTGCCCTATGCTAAAGCAGTATTTTCAGTGTAAGTCTCTATTTGTACACAGCAGTAAAATGTATGTGTTGCTTTAGAGCTTATTTATAACTGCTCAAAAAGTTTGTAATTTAAATATAAATTAACTTTCCTGTATAGTCCAATAAGCTGTTCATTAGCCAGTTTGTTGAAGGTGAACAGAAATTGCTGAAAGTGAGCTGAACAAAAAAAAAAAACCACGCCAAAACCCAGCAAGCCAGCAGCTAGTGCTTTATCCTTTATAAATATTTTCAGCAGCTATAATTAAAACTAATAATCTATCCTAAATAGCCAGTGAATTCAGTTTCTCCAGTAACTTAAACATGGAGGTGTTATGCATTTGTCAATTAAAAGTTCTATTACAATGCAACCAACAACAGACGGAAAATTGTACTTAAAAAGAAAAAATGCATTGTTTATTATGTTTCCAAGAAATGGGTGGAGGCTTTTTTCTTTACAGCTACAAAGATTTCAATGAAAACAGCATAATTTGATCTGGTTTCTCATCAAGAACAATTCATCCCTTACAGCACCCATAAAAAACACCAGCTGCAAATGAGCCTGAACCAAAACCTGAGACTCACAAGTCTAAACTCAATTTTTACAAATAAATGAACAGATAATTCTATCTGCATTTTAATCAAACGTAGCTATTATAAATTGATCATTTTATAACAACCTGAAACAAATTGCAAGATTCAATCATTTCTAAGCTTTGGTAAATTGATAGTTTGAATTTGACTTCAGTGGACTCTGCCCACACTAAACATGACCAATTGCAATGTCATATTGTGAGGAGTCACATTTCAGCTGGGAATTAATGACAGTAATGAGCAAATCCTTATTTTTAAAAAAAGTGGTGTTTATTCTTAATAGGAAAATGAAGCAATCAAAGGAGGAAATACAAATTATGTAAGTAATCCATTATGCATGATCTATTGTTCAATTTGAAATTTCAATATTTTTTTTTCTTTTAAAGAACTGATAAGAGCACATGATAAAGAAAATTTGTCAAATTAGGTAGTTCAAACAGATATTTCTCATTGATATTCTAATTTACTGATTTTTTCCCCTTTTTTCCCCTATTCTTGATTTCAATTACTACTTTGCTTTTTTTTTTTTTTTTGGACTGGACTGTTGCCAACAGTAAGAACATCTCCCTGCTGCAGACAAAGAACAGCTGCTAAGGAGAAAACATTTAATGAACTGTCTGCATTGTTTCCCTCTGCTTGCTACAGTGGACAGGAGTTCAAAGGAAAGTTGTAGCCATACTAGCCACAGCAGAAAATGACAACTCCCTTTCCTCTGCCCTTCTCCCATGGTTTATAGCCTTATATTTTAGGATAAGGTACGGATTTTAGAAATTACAAGTTCAAATTTTCAATTCCTTAAGGACTGAGTTGTAGTTTCAAAAGCCTACATCCAGCCTGCATGATGCAGCGCTGCATTAGGATGTGTGGGACGGGCTGTGATGGGTCTGCACGGAAGAGAGCAGTGCCACGCAGCAGCACTTGCTTAGCGTTGGTACCAGAGCTAACCGAGCTGCACCAACCATCGTGCTTCCATTGTGCTGGGTCTGCTCTGCGGTAGGTACGACGTACACATCTGTCAGTAAAGAAATAGGTCTGACTTGTAAAATGCTGTTGGTCTGACAGCTTTAGGTGAAAGACTTTTTTCCAGACCAGGTAAGGAATAAAAAAATCCTTTCTTGTTTCCTGGCCTCTCTAGAGGCTTTGAGGCTTCTTACAAATGAGCAAAGCAAGCAGTAGTGTCTTGACTGTTTAAGGCTGGACAGATGAGAAAAGCTACGACCCACACTATCTGAACTAGTGAAACAAGATAATAAATTTGAATCAGCATTGCCTTAATGAATTATTATAGTCATTTTCGAAGTGACACAGGATCCTAAACTGAGTGACATCTGAGATGCCCAGACCACCAGGAAACATCTGGAAATTTCCCAGACATTGTCTTGTTTTTTTCCTTTTACAGCTCTTAAGAACAAGTTTTTCTACAGTTACATGGTTTTATTCCAGGCTTTCTTAAGCCCAGTCACCGCGTCAATTCACTTTCACTGGAAGATCTTTACTTCCCAAGCTAAAACAAATAAATATACACACATACCAATATGGGATATATAATTCCTTTTAAATTGTACCATGAGTCAGAGCTACTTTTTTGCTTGCTACCTGATCCCTCTCCTTGCAAGAGTCACTACTCTGGAACATCTTCATGATGTACATCATGGATGTTGCTACTTCATTACTTGCTGCTAAGCAAGATTTGGGGGTAGGAGAGGAGACTAAAAAATGGAGGTTGACATTGACGTTAGAGACATCCACCCAGGGTTGACAAATAGGAACAGGACCTACAGCAGACCTGCAACCTCCTGCAGCAGTGGCTGGAGGCCAGGCGCCATAAATGAGGCCATTCAGAAGGGAACCAGATGCCTGTGTTAGGGCAACAAAATCACTCCCTAACCAACGATGGTTAATGTTCTGTCAGGAGCATTTTTGTAAGTTCCTTCTGAATGGGTTATGCCTTTTCTGAGAGGGAAAATATAACAGAATCTCTGTGTTACACTTTAAAACCAGCATTTTATAAGTTTTGCTACACCTGGGGAAGTCTTTCTATCCAATCTATTTTTTTGAAACTATTTATTGTCCCTCCTGCTTCAGTTTTATCCTGTTTTTCAAAATATTCAATAGAAATTTGGTATTTGGATAGTATTTCAAGCCAAAAAGTGTCACAGAAAGGAAATCAACATCATCATCAGGATCAACTAGAATAAGAGGCCATTAAATCATGAAGATGACAGGAATACAGCAGAGCAGACACCTTTGGGCATTAGGACCCAGTTACTCTTTCTCTGCTGTTATAGTGCACAGGTCCTACCACTGAGTGAGTTCTGCCCAGAGGTCAGAAACGAAGGGAGAAGGTTCCTTGTCTCTCCCTGTCTGTCTGCACAGCTATGCAGGACTGAGCACAACCTTGCCTACTTCCATTGCATACTGCCAATTATTATTTGCTAGAAAAAAATCAAACAAGGAAATACAATCCACTGTCTATACACCTGTTAGATATCTATTCATTCACATGTGTGTCCAAAGCACAGAGGTAAAATTCCCACAGCGAATCTGAGTTTGACTCAACACTGCGGGAAAAGGCTGCAAGGTCCAAGTCGTCTCTCACTCAAACAGTACCCAAAGCACATGCTGCTGATGCGCTGTTCAACTTAGTGAGCAGTTTGTGCAACAGCACTTGACAGAAATAAATGTCCTCTCTTAGGGAGGCAAACTTTCTAATTTTTACAACATTCTTAAAAAAAAGGGCAGATTCTATTCTTCAGATTTCCTCAGAAAAGCACCATTATGCATGCTAAGAAAGTTTTTACAGCTAAGGCGCATAAAACTCAGCAGCAGATATATGTATTTATCTCTCTATATGAGGAGAAGTCCAACAAGTCATAACATAACTAGCACTCTTTAAAAATTAGGCAGCATACATTTGAACTTCCTTCACATAGTGGCTGCTCCAGTTCTGCAAACTGAAAATGAGAAGAATAAATGAGACAGTAGTTTTACCACACTGTTTCTAACAAGAATTCTGACGTTTAAGTATTTAGCCTGAGGTAATTTAAAAATAAGTAATTATTACCATTTCTATCTAATTTTCCATGTAAGGCAAGGGGTTACTGCAGTAGGGAAGGCAAACAATGGCATGTCTGTAACAGAAGACTTTCCACAAGAAAAATAAATTGAATTACAGGTAGCTAAACTTTTCACTTTCCAGGATGAGATCATGAAGAGTGAATAGTTCATAAACTGTTGCCTACTGCCTTTCTCTGAAAGGGAAATTAAATGAATAGAGTTTTAGAATTATTCTTAACAAAGTAGAAAGAAAAAAAAAGAGAAAATGCTAATACTGGCATATGAGCATTTTTTAGCTGAGCACTACACATCAACTTCATGAATACTCTCGGTAATATCAAATGATATTAACAGTAACTAATCACCTTGATTATGATCTTCTATTAATAACTGTTACCTGTCAGTAAACCTTATCTACTAGCACAGGCATTTAGAAATATTTTCAGCATTAATTTTTACTGCCAAATATTGGATGAATAAGAACGAACTTTGGAAAGTAAAGACAGATATTATGGCTAAAGAAGAAAAGCAAAAAAACCCAAACCCCCTCATCTTAGAGTAGGCACTGGAAGTTCAGAGATTCAGCACTAGGGGCCACTGTAAGCCAAGCAACGTTGGAAAAATAATGTACACACTATGAAAATGTCCCAAGAAATCTATTAATGCAACTGCAAAACACTATTTTCAATTTCAGTGATTTCTGCCAAGAAAAAAAATTAAATGGTAAATACAAAGGAGATTATATTCTTAAGGTGCTAAGAAAATCTTCAATATTTTTTTTCTTATTCTTCTTTGGCTTGTCTTTCCTTCTTAGCTCTACAGGAAAGTAATAGCTGTTTATACAAAACTCAGACTTTTGTTTAAGTTAGAACTGAAAAGTAATGGAGGTACATCACATGCCCCAGTGAAGTATTGCCATTACAAATACAATGAAAAGCTATTGAATCTTTTACAAACTAATGGCATGAATCCCAAGAAATGTCTCTTTGATTGTCTGTGCCAATATCTTCTTTTTATCTGATTTTATTTCAAAATATTTTAATCCCATATTTATGAGAGAGAGAAGGATAAAGAAATGGCTAAAATATTAGAGAATACTTTCTGCAATCTCAGACTTTTCCTACTGTTCTTAAGGTTTCATTAGATTTAGTTGTAACATTGTCTTATCTGTCAATTCATCCCATTCCTACAAAAGAAATGCCTAAATATCTTCCACTAAAGAACAAAGGGGAAGTTACTAATAAAGCACATCCTGATTTTCTGACCTGTAGAGTGCGTTGCTTGGAAGCCTTTTCTTTGAACCGATGCATCAGAAATAAAGCGGAGAAACATTTTGTTTCCAGTAGCAATAAGAGGATCTGGTATCTTATTGCCACACAAGCGTCCCAGAATTGGTGATTTTTCACTTTCACCATCAAACACTTCCAAGTGATCATAAGCACATTCTTGATGTTGTTCTATCTCAAATTCATTGAAGGCCTGGAGGAGAAAAAAAAACAAAATGACACAATGTAGTGCTGTGTTTACTGTACTTACGTGGTGCATATGAACTGTTAGTACATCTCAGAATACGAAGCAGATGCAGTTAAGATGACAGATTTAACATTACTGCCCGTATATAGCTTTGAATAACATACTGATTTTGAGAAAGTGGAGTAACAGTTAAGACAGTGAATTTTAAGAGGGCATCATCCTTCATATAAAAAGAGATTAGAAAGGGATTTTATAGGCAACTAATATCCATAAGAGAATATTAAATCTAGAATACGGTGGCCTTTCTGTAGAATTTGCACTGTTCATAGCATTATTCCAAATTTTTATTCAGAACAGAAATAAGCCAGAAATTATTGGTTCCTCAGATGGTTGAGGATTGATCGAAACATCTGCAAAACATAATGCACGTCCCGTCCCCCCCCCTTTTTTTTTTTTTAAACTTACCTCACGCCACAACTGAAGCCTTTGAAAATTACCTTTCTACATGAATGGTTATGTGTAAGTTATATTTTCTAATCTATTATCTAGAGACATTTTTATTATTATTACAACACTAACAACATTTCAGGCTTCACCTTTCATGCTGAGATCACATTTTTACTAGCAAATGCATTGTGAAAAATAACAAAATCATGTTATTTATTAAAAAAACTTCAGCAGACTCTTTTGCTGTCCTCAGCTCTCCCAAGAAAATTCAAATTGCTGTCATAGTTTGAACATAAACTGGGGCTCACAAACTTTACTTCATTTTAAATCTGTGATGTTTCTTCTACATTTCAAAACATTTATCTTAGTTTCTGAGCTCCCAGGGATTCTCAGTCTCCCTCAGTGCTTGTGGCAGCTTGTAAGAACAAATTGGGGTCTATTAAAGACAAATCGGGGTGCATTAAAAATTGTAATTTGCAAGTCCTTTGGAGCAGAGCCTGGCCAACTTACTTTTAAAACTTGTGGAATTTAGATTTATCAAACTCAGAGTGTTCAACCAAAGGCATTTTGGAAAGGTGTATGCCATACCCTAGAGAAAATATTAAAATACATACAACTGATACGTACTTTTCAAATATGGAGGAGTGTCTTCCAAGACTGGACTGGTACAAACAAATTTATTTCATGGGAATACGTAAGAGATTTCCAATAAGACTTTTGGACCAGAGCTACATTTCAACAAGAAATCTAAAGCTTAATATCCAGTAATGTTCCCTCATGTAAACACTGAGAAGGCAATATATAGATGCATCTTTGTGAATTTTCCAAAATAAACTACAATTTAAGGTGAAATTCAAAATCTGTTTTGTTCAACAAAGTAGCATAAAAACACTAAATATAAATGTTCCAATGAGTAGTGATATAGCTGACCATTTATTTAAAAAAAAAAAAAAAAAAAAAAGAAGGATTACGAAGCAATAATTTAAAGGAATAAAACTAAACTGTCAAATACTGAGCAAGTATCACAACTATGCATTCTATCTGGTATACCAAAGCAAATCTGACCTACTGAATCCCTTGTGGAATCCAGCCAGTGTGAAATGTGATGGTAATTTATATTAACAGCTGACCTAAAGGAAATTTAAACAGCTAACACAAAGTCTTTTGCTCAAAGAACTGGAATATTCAGAATAACACTTTTGTGAAAAGTGAAGAGTTGCATGATGCAGTGGATGTAGATTCATTTCACAGGAAAGTTTGGGGGTTTATATTAAGGGATTGAAACTGCAGAGGCAGTGAAAACAGCTGTACAGCAGTCTCTCCTGCTGCTCTTAAATTGTATTCAGCCATCCTACTTTTATGATGCCAAGTACGTGTTGTCATTTATACCCAAATAAAATCTGATGGATTAAAAAAAAAAATACAGAACACTGAGAGACTAACTGTAAGGGAGTTAGTTAAATATAGAATTGAGCCAAGCCCACTTGGAATCAACAGGAGCAACAGATGTGATCCAAGAGCAGCCTGCAGAACTACATTTTCTTTTAGAGGAAAATTTTATCAGTTCTGTTCACCTCTCATCAGTACAAAAAGATCCCTCTCTAGGAAGCACTTCTCACCATGAACTGTAAGACATACCTATTATTTTTAATATTTGTCTTATGACTGGGATTCCTAAGCCTGCAGGGGGACAGTACACGTTATATTTGGTCCCACAAAGAAGAAGAGAAAAAAAATCCTAAATCTGTCACGAGTCTATCAATTGATTCTAGCAATTACAAAGGGAACCAAAGGAATTTCTTTTTTAAAGGAAAATGGATCTTAATATTAAGTCTTTTAAAAGCTCAAAATGCCTGATATTTCAAAACACCCAGAAATGATCTCCATTTTTTCAGAAAAGCAGCCAGTTCCCAGCAGTGAACTAAGAGAAGGCTTGAAAGAGAACTTTCCTTGAAGTTGAACATAACCGAATAGTTGCTGCCAACAGAGTTCACAGATGATTTAATAAAGTTGGTAGTATAATTAAATCACTCTCCATCTTCCTGGGACAAATACTTTTGAATACCTACCCCACCATGACTACAGTCCCCATTTTGATTATCTCATTAGTGGGAATGGTATTCAGAAACGTTACATATAGCTTCTGAACATCTAGCCCTGTCTATCTATAGCACTCAACTGAGTAGATATGTTGGTGGCACTTATGGATAGCTGCCTGAATGGGACACTTAAGTCTGTCTCTTATAAACATCCGGCTGATTAGCTTATGAAAATGGCTCTCTCTTCTACATACATTTTCAAAGCCATCTTTATCTACACATTTCATTTAAAAATTCTGAAGTGCATATCCATTTTTTCATAAGCTTCTTAATTACACCAAATGCTTAACTTCAGCCTTGTCAGGAAGAGAATTTCCAATGATTATCAGAGTGAGAGCAATCACAACAAAAGATTAGTTTCTGTACGTACACCCCTCAAAGAATGAAACACAGCCTCACAATTCATGTGCTTTGTCACCACAAAGAAATCAATTATTTCCTTGTTAAATTCGACTAAGTAAACTGTGGGGAGTAAACTTAAATGTGGTGTGAAAGTCCAGGAAAAAAATATTTGCCCATAGCGGAAGTATGGTATCAATAATATTATTGATATGGCATCTTGCTGTACTGGACAGATTTTAAAGATATTATACACGTAGAATTTAGTAGATTGAGCCTACTGGCTTGCATAGAAAAGTGGATTTCAGCCTCTGAGCCATGGAGGTATTTTTGGAAATTCTATCTAGTAAAATTCTGTCTAATTTTCCCAATTTCATTGGCAAAAGCCAATTTAAAAACCTTTTATTTTATAACAGACCATGTGATATTTCACTGAAGAAATCTGAATGTTGGAATTTTGCCTGCTGACGTTAAAAGTACTGAACAAGCCTTTACAGTAGCATGCTCACACCTGGCTGGCTTTGGTTTATTCAGCCAGGATGAAGGCAGCTTGCTCGGAAGTGGTAGCAGGAAGGGCGCCTGAATCAAAAAACCTGTTTTTCACGCTCTGAATGGACAGAGCATGCACACCACTAATTTTCTGCAATCCCCCACACCCTCCAGAACAATTTAACCATTTTACTTCTGGTGATCAGCACCAGTAACAGGAGTTACGGTTTTGGCTAAGGTCAGAAGTTACGAGATATCAATATCCCTTTCACCCCTGCATCAATATTGGCTATTGCTTCTACCTCGCTGAAGCAGACACATCTCTCAAGTTTATTGGCTCCAAAATTCTTGTTAAGTCAATTCATCAGATTTTAAAATATGTAAGGCCAGCTTTTGTTGTGGCTGTCCCCTGAGTACTCTGGCTGAAGGAACACGGGGGCTGATCTCAAAGCAGAAAAGCCCCCTGGGCACGTCCGTGCCTTCAGCTTCATACAGAGCCTAGGTAACCTTAGTAGATCTGCAAAGCTCCCTAAGCTCCACTAGACTGTCTTCCACCACTAGCACTGTCCTCAGTCAGCTGGACACAAATGTCATTTAGCTCTACTTAGGCTGCTCTTCTACTTAGGTTAAGATTTGGAGCCACTTTTAATGAGAAGTCCAGATTCTTGGGGTTTGTAACTTCTTTTCCTCCTTGAAAATTACAGAAGAGAAACGCAAAAGGTGTGTTGAGAGCACTGTTCATAACTTCCAATTGTTCTTATTCTATATGTTGGAGTTTGTGTACGTGGCCTCTGCCATTATTTGTCAAAAAATTGTGTAAATTTTATAAATTGCAACAATGACATAGTGAAGTCTGACAGGAGGAAAGTGTTCCTCCTGCCCTTTGCTGTCCAGAGTATTTACAATCACCACAAACTTAAATTCACAGCTCGGTGATACTGAGTAGCCCCAGTTGGCCAGGAAAAGACAGGAGTCAGCAAGTTTTTAAAACAGTTTACCTCTGGGCTGCAAACTGATAGTAAAGTTCAGTAACAGTTTCGTATCATTGTGTAGTCATTTGAGAAGCAAGTTTGGTGAAACAAACCAGAAAAAGGAAAAGTAGGCAAAAACTCACCAATTTGACCCTTTGTCCAGGGGTGGCACTGATTTCCCACGTGCACTCCTTTCTGCTGGGATACTTGTCAGGCCAGTTGGGACTTGTGATGATGCCATTGGGACTGTGGATCTTCTGTTCACACTCAGCTGTGCCAACAACGATAGCATCAGTTAGTCTGGGGGTCTGCATTCAGAGGTAGCCAGAAAAGTACTCTTTTTTGTGAGGGGAACCACTGAATGCAAAGGCTCTTTAGGAAAACAGCTCAGCACGCTCTTCAGTGGGCACGATCATGTTCTTCCCCTTTGGCAAACACTTTATGGCAATTAACCCAGCATGCTTGTTTATTGATTGTTGTGAAACATACTCTGTCATTTGCAATGGATGGCTTTTTTTTTTTTTTAGGAAAAAAATATTATAAAGGAATGTACACAAGATAAATATCAAAATTTAATTGAATATTTTGCTATTCCCCTCATTCTACATACAAATAAGTATGAAAATCCATATGAGAAATCTTACTACTCCAGCTTCAAATGATATTTCTCAAACAATTTATTTTTCTCTCTTCTTGCTAATTTTCATACTGCAGCTACAGAGCAATCATTTTGATTTCTAAACCACAGTTTCTAGGGACATATACAATTAGAGAACAGCTAAGACTAAACTGTGAGTATGTACGAAGAACAGCTTCGTCGTTCACATTGTAACTGAATCACTAGAAGTGCAATTTATTCTCTGTGAATAAATACAAAGAACTAAAACAAGGCAAGAAAAAAAAATAGTTTAATTTTGTAATTAGTTTTTTACAATCTCAAATTGCTTTATAAATATCAGAACTATTCAACAAGAATCTTTTAGATCAGGCAAGTATCGTTCCAACAGCAGCGAAAATGCAAGTGGTTCACAGAGGGCACATCTTTACTCGCAAATTAAATGCTAGAATAAAACCTTGAGAAGTTACAGTAGCTCACATGATACTGCACACTTGAGGTTCATTTGCAGGTAACCTAAATTCTAGTTAAGCACGAAAGCCTATGTTTTCTTGGAGGTAGCCACACCTTGAGACAGCAAATAGGAAGAAAGATGCACATGGACTTGACTAGAATTTAGATTGTCTGAATATGTCCCCTAAAATAAACCCTGGAAAGGGCACATACAATTTCAACCTGACTGCAAGGACACAAACTGCTACTGATAGGAACAAATGACAACCTTACCAGGCTTCTCTCCAGAAACGCTATCCCTGTGTTTAATACAGTATTAGATAAATACTCTATCACAGCTTTAAATGTTCTCCACTTCACAGCACTATTAAAAGTAGCACTTCCTGCCAACGTTCCCAGGTTTTCCAAGCTGCATTCCTGTGGACCTCAAATTCAGCCACACACAAATGCTGGGGATGGAGGAGACAGGAAAGGGGGGTAGGGGAGTGTTTAAGCCCCAATTACCAAGATCTTTTTCTTTCCTTGCTTCCCTTCAGAAGGAGAGCTGCAGAGAGCTTACCGCAAGACAGTTGTATAATCAGCCACTCAAATACCTTACTACTTACCCTCCTTACAGTCATGTTTGTTTTCATGTAGCACAAATCCATTTCGGCACTGGCAAACGTAGCTTCCTACCGTGTTGATGCACTCGTGCTGGCAGCCACCGTTGTCCTTCGAACACTCATCCTTGTCTAAGAAATACACAACAAGGTCGGGTGAGCATCACAGCTAGCTGTAGTCCTCATTACCAAATAGAAAAAGGTTTAGCACAGTGTTTGAGTCCAGAAAAGGATAAGCTAAGACACAGTCACTCTTCTCAGTATGGCAGTTTCGTGGGACCTTAGTTCTGGCCACTCATTGCTCAGCCTGCAACCTTGCACCATGGCACAAATAGTCTGTCTCATCTTTCTGGGAGATGAGGGGGAGTTCCTAGGGCAGAGGAACACTAGTAAAACAAACAAGCTAAATCAAAGGAGATAAGAGAGTTACCAGCGTTTACTCTTTCAAGTGGTCTAGCTGGTAAAAATTTCATAAATATCTCATCCAAAGCTTCACCTCAGTAAACAATGGTAGTGTGATTTATGGACAACACAAAGTATTCCAACTTTATGCAAATTCCACAAGTTAATGGTGGTATGTTGAAAGGAACATGTAGGCCAAACAAGGTTTCAAGTTCTGCACATTAAACGTAAGAAAAGAAGGATTTAACATAAACTTTTTTAATAAGTTGATATTTTTTTTTCCCCAGCAGAGTGACAATGTGCTTTACTTTCAACAAATCTGGACATTACAGAACATCACAAAAAGAAAAACATTTCATTGAAAAACATACAAAAGAAACCGACATTAGTTATTTCAAGGAGATCTACAATATAGCATGCAGTTCTGTTTATTAACATATAATCCTTCAAAAGAGCTTTTAGTGTGTTAGAAGTAAAGCAGAGAGTAGGGAAGGAAATTTGACCTGCATTAAACAGCTACAAATTCATTGCATGGAAAAAAGCCAAACTAGATTAACAGGCTGTCATTCTAGCAAGAGGCCTCAGCTGCCACCCTTCTATGTCAATTCAGCTGTTGTCATTTTAGGTGAAGCTGGTCCGGTTAAGAGGCAGACTGCTCCTAACATATACATATATATATACACATACATGTATATAAGTATGCACATCTATATACCTATATATGTATAGACACACATATATATAAATCCTGAGATATAAAAATATATACCCATATAAATATATATATATAAACACACACATATTAAAAAACTGTATCTCACAAAATGTGTCATTTCAACATGCAAAAGAGAGGAGGAAGACGAGCAAAGAAATTGTGCTCATTCCAGTTGTTGCAGGGCTGGAATGCAGAGCATTCACCCCCTTCAGCCTCATGTACCTTGGAAAGCAGCAATGAGCGTTATCTCCAAACAAGGTAACATGCGATGTTTCAGACTTTTGGAGGCACAGTAAGAATTTCTATAGATTCCAAGCCACTGTGGATAATTTAAGTCTCTCTTCGTTGTCTTACTTATGCATTTTTCCCTGCCTTTACTGATGCTTAAATTCAGTAACACAACAAAGGAAGTCTGCGCTATAATTGCATACACATCAACTTTATCTACCAAAATGTATGCAACACTTGACTCGTTGACTTGCAGGTCTTTCTATAAAAATCAGCTTCTACTTATAATACATGATAATAATGTACATGGATAGATAAATTCTGCAAGTCAGCACCAAGCATTCACTGCATTTTGTCCTTAAGTTTCCAATTTATTTGCACTGAAAGTTTTTGGAAGCTTTCTGCAGATATGAACAGATTTGAAGGTTAAGAAACAGTCGAAAACATAGGTAGCTCCCAGAATTGTATATGCAAAGGCTAGTTGTCATTTTGATGATGAAAGAAGCATAAAAGCTCCACAATACACTGTTTATGCACCTTGCAATGCAAGTCACAAACTGAGGTAGTAAGTCTATTTAATTTCAAAATAAATTTATACTCTTTAATCTTTTCAAAACCAAGCACCCTCATAAGCTAATTCCATGTTGCAAGTGAAGAATAGTAACAAGCAAATAAAAAATGAAATAAAATATGAACAAAACTCTTTAATATTTGCCCTCCTAAGTATTAGTTTGTAGTTTTCTACCAAAATAACAAAACAAATGGAAGGCAAGCTCAAAATGCATTCAAGTTAGGCTTTCAAATACAGAGTAGGTGCACAAATTCTAAATAAAAGCCCTGTCCATTTTCATCTTCCACCAAACTGTGTGAAAATACTGAAAAGTATTTTAACATTAAATAAGTTTATATTCTGTAAAGTAATCTCTTAAGAGACAAGTACATAAGTAAACAGTCCCATGTTGGACCTCCTCAGAGATAAAACAATGGACACAAGGTAGAAAGGAGCAGCTTTAGAACATTTTTGAACCACAATAATTACTTGTATGTGGTTAATCAAGGATGCAACTGTTGAACGAGCCTTCCTCACACTTCCTAATTCGGAACAGACTTTCTGTCAAATTGATTACCCAGTTTCAAAATTCATGAAAAAACAATTAGTCTGTATTAGTTATAAGAACAAATGTTTTGCCATGTAAAAACAAAGCCATTTGTTATGCTGACAGATGGAAATGAGTCTCCCCGTTTTGAATGGATACTTTCTTTCTTTTCTCATTTCAGTACTCAGAACAGGGAAAGATCCATTCTCAACAAAATGTTAGACTGAATCATTCAGAGGACAAATGGTCGTACCTCTGAGACCCTCAGAGGCCACCAGTCTGTGAATAATACGTACTCGGCCTGAAGGGACCTGTATCAAGTCCTTGCAAGATTCAAAAACAAAAATTTTCTCTTTGCAGGCAGCTTTCTTGTCTGTGGAAAAAAATGTACCAGGATGGCACCAGAGATGAGTTTGTGCTCCAAAACAAATTTGCTCAAGGCTAGAAACATTCTAGCTTTCTCTTTTTAATTGCTCAATGAATCATCACCCAAGAAAAAATGTCCCAACAAACCTCATTTCTATATTACATCAAACACCATGTATGATTTAAATGATCATGCAAAGAATCATATTTATTTAAAACGCTGAAATTACTCTAAAACTTATGATAAATGGAAGCAGCTTAGTGACAAATTATCACTTGGTATTAAGCATACCACTATACAAAGACTGATTTAAAGAAGTAATTAGACTATCTTCTTGGAAACGTCACAGAAAAAAAAAATATGTATATATTATTATCTTTTTCCCTCCCTAGAGTAAATTCCTGGAGTTATTTTACACTCCTCTAGTCTTATGGGCCCAGCAGATTGCAACAGGTCTTCTGACAAGAGCAGGAGAGAGAGAGAGGAGGGACAGAAGAGAGAGGGAGAAAGAATAAAAACCTAATTACTGGAAGCTTTTAATTTAGAAGCCTAATATCCAATTCCAAAAAGTTTTAATAAAAGTTTTTAAAAATTAATGTATCATTACTCTCTAGTGTCTTCTCTTTATCCAAGAAACTCAATTGTAAATGTACAAGAGTGTCTCTGGAGATTAGCTAGATCCCTGCAATGGCTCCCAACTCAGCTTTCTTCAGAACTGTCCCATCAAATGTAAATTTTACAGAATGTTGAATAAAAAGTTTTTCTCACTTTCCAGTAGCACCTGTCTGGCTGCTAACACCATTTTACAGCCAAAAATGTAATTACATGTTGTCGCATATCAACATAAATACCTTCCTAACGCAGGTCATCTGTTGCCCTGTGTCACTGTTTGCTTTCACAGTTTATCACAGCGGGTTCTAACCACCCAAAAACTGCTTTCTGTCGTCTGAGCTGGAGCTGGGCCATGCTTTCTCAACTGTAGCTGTGGCTGCAGAATTCACCACCATAAAAGTTGAAAAAAAAGTTCTTTATCTGCGCTTTGTGGAACACGTTACAGTCCCTAATCTTCAAACTAATCTGACTCACCCACCTGTCTCACTTGCTGACCATTGCACATGTCCTTTACTGGTGAATCGACTTCAAGATACAGTGTTTTACTCATTACTGATATTTTTCATTATATATGTCTGTATAACTAAATGCTTACAAATACTTCTATTGTGATTTAATTAATAAAATTGTTAAATGCCTTTCAGCAAGTATCCTAGATGCTAGCAGTAAGTATTTCTCCACCGATATAATTCTAAAAGTGATGTATTCTGAAGACAAGTATATAAATAGGCCCACTTCATCAGCTGAACTGTGATCAGCTATCAACTCCCAAAGGCAAAATATTTCAAGTTTTAAGTTCGTTCTTCATTGACAGATCAATAGCATATTATGCCCATATTAAGGAATTCAGGGGTAAGCAAGTTATAATGTTTTCTGACAGCCAGCAAGTCTTGTCTGATGAATTATTCAGAGATGACAACTTCTTTTTAGATACTTTAAGTTCAGAAGTTTGATTTGTCTCAAGCATTACAAAGTTTCTGTTTTAATCAGGAAATACTGTCAAAAGAGAAAATCCAGATAAGATAGAAGACTAGAATCTGCCAGAAATGATAACAAACTGGAAGAGAATTGAGAAAGAATAAAAATAAAATATGAAATATCTGAACTCATATGAAATGAGAGAAGAGATTATGGTAGAAATGCATTATGAAGCAATCACTAAATTTATACACCTACAGACTCAAACTATCTTTCTTTGAAAGGGATTAGATACATACTATATCCAGGACACATCACACATTTCTATTCATTAAAAAACACATTAGTTCAGACTTATCCCTGGCTAATGAATTTATTATAGTGATCAATGACATCACTTAAAACTTATATTTTTTGAGTTACCAGGAAAAACGGTTTTCACCTGAGGGAAGAAAGGGAAGAACGTTTCATTCAGAAGTGAAAAAGACAAGGGAAATAATGGCTCTGAAGGATTACAAGCTGATGCTTTGGACTCCATGAATTGTAGTCTAGTCTTTCCCCAACATACAGCATTGGCCTGATTTCTTCCTCGAACCCACTCATAATATTAATAGATCATGTAAACAATCATTTAAATAAATAAATAAATAAATCTGTGAAAATGTACTATCACTTTAAAGAAAACCAAAATTTTACTATAAATGTATACATGCTCAGCAAGCTGACAAAATACAACTTCTGAACAACAGAGCCTACACAAATTATGAAGCTATCATTGCCAACCTTATCTGGCATAACTGTATAGATCCTAAAAATACGTAACAAACTTCATTTGCAGGCCATCTTTAGAAGCAGAACACATCAATAACTATTCTTGTAAAAAGTCAAAATATGTGACAATTCCTGCTGGCACTACTAGGCCTACATGAAATGACCAGTTGTGCAACTGTTTCTAGGAAGAAGCCCTGTTGTGTTCATATACATATTTACTACAAATAATGAGTAAACCTTGAAAGCGTCTTGCTAATATAACATACAAGTTTAAAAGTAAAAACTGCTACTATATGTAAAGATGGATCTGAAAGACTATGACCAGAGAAATGTGATAACGAGAAGAAAAATAAAATGCTTTAGAGAAGGTAAAATGGTTGTTAACTTCCTTGTATGAGACGAAACACTTTTTTTTATCTTTCATAATTGCTTAAGGAAAACATCAAAGTAGTCATAATGAGAAAACATTGAAAGTCTAAATTGTTTGTCTTGACAGTTGTTTTCCTCACTTTCCAAACTACATCACTTATACAATATACTGATTCTTATTACTTGCTCATAGTTAAGTTATCAAAGCTAACCAATACCATTTTCATTCCAGCTTTGATAAAATATTTTAACAAACAAACACTAATAACAGTGCCTGGTAATACATTTTACTACATGCTAAACATAATCAGGATTCTCCAGATTCAGATTTTTAACTCCTCTCAAAAAACTTGGGGCAGAATTCCAATCCCAAATGCTTCTGGATGACTTCCAGTTTGGGGAGGCGGGCAGACGAGACTGTCTTGTTGGGGTGTTTTACACAACGTAACACACCTATGTGCATGTGTGTGTGTAAACACACAAGAAAATCACTAGGCAAAATTCCACTACTAACACCAGGTGGTATCCTGCCACAGCTGAACTATTATAATCTAACCTCAATGGATAATTGCAGAGACCACTGTTGTGCAAATAGCTCCTCACATCTTCAGCTTCACTCACGTCTAACTGTATTCAACAATACATGTTCTCAGATAATATAAAATTCCATCACTCTGACCTGCCTTAGTGAAATTACACTCATAACAAACGACGCACATTTTTGCAAGAGCAAGGTCTTACGCTCTTCTTCTGCAAAAGATTAAGAAGTGCAAAGTTTGGCAAGAAAGTACCCATAATGTTAAACAAATGTTGTAGCACAAAGTGGCAATTTCATAACTAATGCACTATATTAGGAGACCTGAGTGAAAAAAACCCACAAGTGTGCACGGTATGTAATTCATATCACATTACAACTGGGATTTGAAAAAATAGCGACAAAACTTGGAATAAAAGAAATCAAAGAGAAATTTAAAAACACTTAGTAAATTTGCTTTTTTCCTCTGTATCTCACAAAGTTCATTTGCCTCTGCTGTTATTTAAAAATACATATATGCATTCCATATATTTTCACTATATACAGACATTAGAGTTCAGAACAGTATTTTAGGATAGGAGAGTGGTTTATGCTTGTATAAATAAAAGTCAATGCTACCAGAAAAATTATAAGGCAAGAGGCCACTCATTTTCATATCAAAATACAGTATTCACTCCACCTAGTCAGTGTGTGCTTAGAAACACTCACAGATACGCAGGAGTGATTTTCTATACCTGAGAAGAAGTGTGCCTTGAAGCCTTTTTTTGACACCGTGTTGTCAGATCTGAACTCAACTCGCATGTTGTTGTACTGAGAGGTGATAACTTCAGGCACTTCTGTACCACAGAATTTACCGTGTAGTTTAGAATCAGAAGAAAGGCCACTACGAATCTCCACATAATCATATTTGCAAACCTGAGAAAAGAAAGAAAATAATTTCTTTGGCTAATTAAAACAAAAGCATGAAGTTATGTACAAATGCAAGAACTCTGATTGGTATATGCTACTTAATAATAGGATAATAATACCTTTTTTTAACTTCTCCCTGACTCTGAAAACATTTGTAAATGCTTACAAATGTTTACTGATTTTGTGGAAGAATATTTTAAGGTTGCTAAAGCATAGCTACACTATGCATTACTTTCAAAACTATATTTTGATTGATGCTAATCTGTGTTTGGTATCTAAACTTCAAGATGTTTAGTAACGTTTCCATTTAATCTACAAAGTAAAAATTCCAGTTACATGAGACTAAAATCTAGAAATATTCACCCTAAAAATGATACTTATCTTTGTGCTATAAATCACAAACCCAGAACCTACAAAACTTCTACTGCTTGCACCTCATAGATTTTTAAAAATATATTAATTTTCACTAGGAAACTTACAAGACAGGTTTTTACCATAACGTACTTAAGACATATTCTTTTATTTACACATGTATAAATTTGCATAATTAAAACTATAGATCTTTAACAGTAGCATAGCTATAATTTGAAGGGCCGATGCATGTAATTTTCACTAAAAGGTTAAAAACAAAATAAAGTAAAATAATGTAACAAAAAAGCCTTATGCAAGGCCTACTACTCATGATAATACTTTCAATTCATAATCCCTTGGTCAAACTAAAGCCTTCCACCCAAAAACTTCTAAGCTTCTTAGGCTCAACTATCAATCATTTAATCAAAAATGTCCCAGTTGTCTGCAATTAATAGCTTAAGAGAAACCAGTGGCCAGGAGGATTCATACAGAGCTTAGATTGTCCTTTAAATCCAAGTTGTATTTGAAAAATCCTAATTTCTAGTCAAAAAAGAAATGTCGGGGGAGCTGGAAGAGAAATATAAAAAAAAGGTATTTTGGCCTTTTTTGCTCTCTTTCCGTATGAAATATTAATTGTCAACATTTCCATTTTTTTTTTTAATATAATACATTTAATATGTAGATTAAATTTTCATTGGTACTGGAACAATTTTCTTATGTTGCAGAGTTGAAAAGTGACTAATTCACTTGAAACTACTTTTAGACAATATAAAGAACGGCAGATTTATAAAACTTGAGTTGCTGCCACATGCTGATTTATATTAATTGTAAGATAAATTCAAGGTAACGTGTGTGATTTTCAAATATAGCTCACAATGTTAATAAATAGCAATTTCAGCAATACATCAGTGGGGAGTTTTGAAGGTTTCATAACTTTAGATTAGAAATGAAATGTAACTTCAGATATGTCTAACTTCCTTCATAGTACACTATATTTTTAAAAAATTTACAAGTTACACATAAAACTAAAATTGTAAATTTTAAGTGTAAAACATTAAAATCGTAACATTGGAAATGACATGTTAAACGTTGTCTTAAATGGAGCTTCTATAAAAAAAAATTAGAGCATTTGCTAAATGTATACAATTTATGTCTGCACTCAGACAATATATTAGAATGTTCCAGGTATTATGTGTTTCTTCTGATTTTCACAGTACATTTTCTTAGTACTAAAATTTAATAATATAAAGCTGAATCTGATTTAGTAGCACAGGAGAGAATCAAACCAAAATTCTAAATGTTGAAAAACATTATGTATATATTTTTCATATTTGCTGAAGTTATATGTCTTGTGTGACCTTAGAAAACTGATTTAACTTCATTATAGCTCAGGTGTCTTCCTTGCAAATCTGGCTTAAGTACCAAGAAAGTGCAGGAAAAATGTTTTATGATTTGTTCAAATGTTAATTCAGTTTTAATTTTTCGGGATTTGTCAGATTTTGTTCTACATTTTACAGGTCTTCTAATGATGATAACAGAACATGAAGGTAACATATAAATCATTCAAAGTAAGTTGGAATTTCATGGACTTTAGAACCCACCTCAAATTATTAACGAAACGAAAAAAAAACCCTCACATTTTTACCTGTTCAAATAATTTGAGATATTTTGGAGAAGCCATGGCTGGGTTGTTTCTTAGTTACAAATTAAACTCCAGGTTTTACTACTTCAGATCTCATGCCCAAAACACAACACATCCTCATATCAAATATGTTGCTACTAATTTGTTTAGTCAGAAATAATGTCATGGGTTTGGAGTTCTTAACACCACATGAAGAACATCCAGATAAAATTGATGGCGATAGCACATTATGGCTAGAGCCTAGCAAGGGAACTCAATGGCATGACAGAGTGGTGCCTAGGAAGCAGAACAGAGGCTGAAAAGTTGATGTTGAAACTCACGTCTTACAAATTTGCACCCAAAAAAATGGCTGTGACCTCCACCATTTTGTTTAGAGCTATAGGGACGAGTCCTTACCACATGGAGAGCTCTGTCCTACCCCCTTCTTCCCCACCTGGGGATGAGATTCCCCATGCCTCCAGGGGCTGCCCAGCTCAAACACTGCTGCTGTTCTATTGTGCATTATTTCTGGGATTGCTCCTTTTAAAATATTGCCCCCTCAGATACTTGTAAATGATTTAAATGCTCCCTCGCTCCGTCACTAACCAGAGCTTATGTGTATTCTTTGTAGTCATAGTCTATAAAGATGATTTGGTTTCTCCAGATTTTCTTCTCTTGAATTCTTTCCAATATGCCTCAGCCATTTGCTCTGTTTTACTTTGTTGATAAAAAAAAGTCAGCTGAGACTCAGCAGAGAACATTTCTTTTAAATTTCATGTAATACATATACATTTAGATGATATGTAAAAGAGAGCTATTCTCTCCATATTTGTTTTGAAAGAATCCAGAAACAGTCCCAAAACGAAAACAAGAATATCTATGGTTATTGTCAGCGTATGAACAGTCAGCAAGGGCTTTATAAGACAATATCTATTTTTGAATGCTTGTGAAACTGTTTAGCGTGAGACAGATTGTGCAGCTCTTTGTTCACGGTTACTTACTTCATTCCCTTCTAACTCAAAAAACTCAAACTTCATTGAAATTCGGTATTGCGTCGGGGCAACCACCTGCCACACACAGTTTTTGTTTGGAGGATACTCTTTGGGCCACCCTGGTGTGGTTATAGTCCCATTTAGCTTTGTCAGGAGTCCTCCGCAAGCAGCTGTAAAATTAAAAGGGAGAGCATCGTTTCTTGACTGAAACCATGTTTTACTATAAACAGAAGCACACTGAGAAGATTCAGTCCTCTCATTACTTATACTGCTGTAATGCCCAGACAGACTAATCAGAATCTCGTTTTATCATGCTTGGTGCAAACAAAGAGAAAGAGACAGCCCCTATCTTGAACAGCTTGCAGGTTTGCGGACAGAGATAAGTTTCAGGACTACACAAGGCGTTATCATATTCATTCTTTTCCCTTCCCTCCAGAGACTCTGGTTATTCTCTGACAGCATTTCCCAGGCAAGTCCTCTGACCTCACCGCCCTCCCCAGGACCTTGACCACTCCTCTTCTGACAGACGGACTACTTAAGATGCGCTTTGCATTTCCCCAGCTTCTCTCCTTGATTATTGATCCCGAATCAACCCTACCTGTCTCAGCTCATATAGCTGTATACGCCTCCCATAACCTACTAGATAGGGTCACTACTTTGGTATAGCAGTCACGTACTCTTCAGTCACAATTCTTTTTGTTGAAGTATGGATGTTCAATAGAGAAAATACTTATTATTTCCAAGTGTATGCTGAATAGTCACCTCCATACAACAGAACAATACTGTACTATGTTTGTGAATGCAGTTCAGATAGCAATGGATAAACACATTAATCTTTTCCATCTGTGGAAATTTTATGATTTTTTTTTTTTTTTTAAAGTAATGAGATTTGCAGGGGTTCTCTATCACACTCTGCTCCATTGATACCATTCCAGCACTGTGACAGCACTGGAAATCATCCACAAATCTCTTAATAACGAGCTGGTGGGGGGAAGCTCCACCTTCTTCCAACTGCTTTGCTCTAATGCTGAATGCTTGGAAAACTGGCTATTCCTGTCTATCTGATGGGCTCAAACACTACATCTACTTCACCTAACACACCTGGGTGAGCTCTCCAGTTTCTGCATCGGGGCACACTTGGCCAACCCAGACACATATCAGTCTTCCTCCTGGCACCTGGCTTTCCATGCAAAGGACTTCTAGGTATACATGTAAACGTAATCTGACTGGAGGGGCACATGAAGGCCCTGTGTCACATCACAGAGTCAAATAACACTGGGCACAGGTTTAGAGACCATAGTCAGATGACACAAGTTGTACCCCCAAAACGATCCAGGCGGGGTCAGGGTGACAACTGAGCACTAGTTTTCAGTTTCTGCTTTTCAACATCACTCCATTGTTCCTTGAGGCAGCGGTGGGAAACGTGGAAATACTGAAAAAAACCCCCAACTCTTAAAGCCTTGTAATCTGCTGCCAGCAGGGGAGACTTGGATTAGACCAGCATGAAGCAATTTTCTGTGCATGTCAACACTGCAGTGAAGCATTGGGCAGAGTTTCTGAGTTAGAGGCTTCTACTCTGGCATCATGTGTGAATTAACACAGCTAGGTCACCCCTTAAATTCCCAAACTATAAATTGGGTATAATGCTCACTGTGACTACACAGTGATTTTAATTCAGCAGCCACAAGCAGCATCTACATACAGTGAGTGCTACCTTGCATGGAACAAACGCTTTCACACTTTTAGGGATAGCTCGGGGATTTTACTCCATACTGCACTGCACTGCGCTACTTCGAACGACTCCCCTTTTTGCCAGAGTTGCTTATCTGTTTGAGTGCCAGGGAAGTATTCCTTCTCTATGTTTCAGAGGAAGAAGGAAGAGTTTTCTGAAAGACCAGTAATCTTCCCTAATGTTCTGACTCAGATCAGCAGGCAGACTAAATGAAATTCCTTACATAAATTTGGGCTGCTGATCAAAGGCCCAGCGATCAAACTTGTCTTCATGGCCCCCATTAGGTTAACCTTACTTTCTGCACACTGCCTAGTATGCAGACATCTTAATACAATAGGCTTTTTGAAATAAACTGTTTTTCCAATGTGCCCACTATTAAAGTTGAGGGGGGAAAAAACCCCAACCAAAAAAACAACTGACTTGATGAGAGCTGCAGTCTAACATGACTGTAGTCTAAGACAATCACCACCTCGCACACACACACGCACACATCCCCCAAATGAACAGAAAAACCCAACTCTACAGAACCAAAAGCAAAAGAAGAAAAAGTGCAAAGAAACTAAGCAAAACTAGCCCAAATTGTGACAAATCATGAGTTAAAGCCAGGGAACTGGAAAAATGAGAGAGACCACTGAATCACATCTGCAGAAAACCGTAACACCGAACACCCAATTTTCAAACTCCATTCACTACTGAAAAAAACAGGTGAAATAAAATAAGAATAATTTGTGCTATCCCTGAATTTATTGGTGTTTATGAATAAAAAAAAAATAATCAAACAATAATTTGTGTGTAATGATCAAGAGCTTTTGCTTCTTTCCTTTGATGTGAAATACGTATAGAATGCAAAAGCTTATCTCAGTCCAATCCCATCTTTATATAGACTTCCATTTATCAGGTATTTATTTCTCAAAATGATTATTTGAACAGGCTTTGCTCACCCTGAAATGTAGAATTTGTTTTCAGCCAGAAACGTCCACAACCTGACCAGGAGTGAGGAGGATTTCTCTGAGTTTTGAGCTAGAATAAAGGATCCTGCTCTTCAAACCAGCCACCTTCCCAATCACACCCCAGTCAGAGGTGGTCAGAGGGATCATTAAATATTCTGATTCTCAGACAACAGCACATTGCTCTGCTGATAATTTTTTCCTTATACATGGTGGGAGACTTGGCTTTAATGAGTTTGAATAATATAGTAAGTGGTTTGGGAAGGTACAAAGTTCTGCTTTGCATCAGCCCCAGTCGACTAACAGCAAAACCTGGGAAGCTAAATTAGTGACAGACATCAGGTGAAGATGACTGCCATGGGCAGACATCACCGCGGCACCACAACTTAAAAGGGAGCACTGGTTTTCCAGACTGGGTTCCACAGATCTCACACCGCTAGGACAGAGCGTACGAAAGGTGTGGCATTTCACTCAAGCGATGGCACTCTGTGAGCTTTAAGAGCCCATAACACAGCAACGCACTGTACCTTCACAGCTCTTTTTGTCAGGACCAAGTTCATAGCCAGGATCACAGGCGCACTGGTAACTGCCCAGAGTGTTTACACAGCGCTGCTCACAGCCACCATTGTCAGGTTTGGCACATTCATCTTCCTCTGCCAAGACAGGGAAGAATGCAAAAACATGTTAAATAATGACCTCCCTCAGCTGTAATTGCTGGATCAATATCAACCCAGAAAGCCATATGCATGCCATTATAAGGTGCACTACATAACACGCCGTGGTTGCTGACTAGAGCATTTTCAAATACTAAGGAGACCTGCAATGGAGAAAATAAAAATTTGTCCTTTGAGAGGTTTGGGTGGGTTTTTCTACAACAATACCTACTGACAGCTGCAGACCTAATTTATAAGCACTTTGTGGGCAACATACAATAATTCAGGCAGCCGTAATCTAAAGGTTGTATAAAGTATTGAAAGAAAGATTGAAAATCCACAGCAGGGTCACTTGAAGGGCACTTTATCTCCCACAGAATCAATTTGTGCATTATCCCGAATTCATACTCAAAAACAGATTAACAGAATCCTCAAATCCCAGGTTTTCATTCTACTGATATTAAAGGGAACAAGATGCATTAGGGATGGGGGAGGGAAAGGAATAATGTATTATCTCTACTAGCGCTGAAGTATACCCATGAGATTCATTGTTAAAATATTCCTCAGATGTTGAAATATTGTTTCCTTACACCAGGACAAATAATTTCTTCAGAATAAAACAGACCTCCCACTCTCATGTCTGCAGCCTTCAAGGTTATAATTGTCTAGAGTAAAAATTATCAGTTAGTGGGGAAAAAAGCCCCAGCTTGTGGCTTTTCAAAAGAGCAAAAAGGTCTTCCTGGTGCTGTGACCTGTATTTTGTGTGTCACCATGGCCACACCACTGATGGTGGCTTTCACTGTGCCATGGGCAGCACAGGGTAGGAATTACAGGCTCCCCACGCACCAACTGCTGCAGGTATAGCTGGAATTGTATCACACCCCACACCCACACCCCCAAAACTGGAGGAAGACTGGGAGGCCATTGGTCACTGTATCATTTCTCAGTTTTGGTTTTTTTTTTCTTGCTCACAACAAGTAATAAATTGATAAAGCCGCGTAACGCAGCAACAAGATTAGAAAAAACACAACATCTAGACAAAAAAAAAAAAAAAAACTAACAGAAAAGACCACGTTGTCTCTATTGTGATTATACTATTTACATTTATATTTGATAAAGAAATATGACCACCACCCCCATTTTCACAAGATATGTTTCAAAGCTGTTTCAAAACTTCGCTGATTATTTGAACCTGAAGAGAGTAGGAAGTTGTACTGGATATGTTCCTTAATTCTTTGAACATATTTTACAAGGAAATAGAAATACCTCAACTCTTTTGATTGAATAAAATTTCATGCCCAGTTAAAAAATACACTGGAGACAGTACGGAACTGATTTTAGAAAAATTAGGTTGAAAATTTTTTTTCATATCCTATCATATTTTTTTCTAGTATAAAATCAAGTGATAAGCAGTTCACAGCTCCCAAAATATGCTTTAACATTTACCTTTAAAAAAGTTAGCTGCAAAACCTGCTTTGTTAACGGTTCCATCAGAAACGAACTTCATCCACAGGGTATTAGAGGTAGATCTAATGTCTTCTGGCTTGTCATAGCCACAAAAGTGACCAATTAAAGGACTGTTTTCATTTGTTCCATCTCGAATTTCCAAGTAGTCATATGCACAGTTATCGTGTCTTTCAATCTGTAAAAAATTATTTTTAAAGTGACCTATTTGAACTTGTCCATAAATAGCAAATATCAGCTAATAAACAGGAGAGAATTTTTTCGAAGTTAATGTTAGGTTTCTCTGTTTAGGATTCAAACACCAGGAAAATGAGGAAAAGAACAAGCATCACTGGACTTTTTTTAACTATACTTGTTTTCTACAAGAAGAAATAATTTCAAGATTGTTACACAGGACACAACAGTCTAAATGGAAAACAGTAGCTAAAAAGACACTCTCACCTTTAGGCTTTCCAATGTCCTGTCATATTCCTACTCTGAGTTCAAGTTAAGTCCTCTTTTCTCATGTAAACTCAAGTATAAAAGATTAATGCTTCAACAACTAACCAGGTCAGAAATATTAATTGGTTTTGAAATATTAGAAAGCTGAATTTTTATTAATATGCATAAGATTTTTAGACTTCAAACTGTGCTATTTCAGATGATGATCAATATTTTATTTTCTTCCTTTATCTTCAACACAGTGCAAAATTTTGCATTTGTGACTACCCACTGATTTTGCAGGGTAAGCGTAAAAAATTACAGTGCAATCAATAAGAGTTTGGGCCATCTGTAGAATTGCATCCAAACACAATTCCAAAATTATCAGCTCTTAAGTAGCCAATAGAACAGATGACAAAAACTATCATCATTGTGTGTCTGGTTTCTGCTGCACGATTGCTTATTTCAGGTGTCATCTTTTGGCTTTCTAAGCCAATGGAGTGAATCTTTGCCATACTGATGGAGAAACCCACTGAAACCAGAACAACTGAAAATGTGCCTCATTTAAATCTCCTGCCAGATGACATACAAACATAGACTAGCATATGAGTGGGCACGTGTGTATTTCTACTTGGGTAGCAAGTCTTGTGCTCTTTACATAATAGTATTTACAGAGTCAGTCAGAGTGTGAATTGCCCCAAAGAAGAAAGCAGTAGCAGCACAACTATGATCCTATGCGAAGCATTGAAAATTTTTGATGCCTATCTTTATTGAGAGTATCTTTCCCAACAGAGTTAAGAAACCCTCTTGATCTGGGTCATTTTACTGCAGGATTACTTCACGTTACTCAAGTAATATAGCATCTTAGCTATAAAAGAATTAACAAAATCCAAGTATTCAAAAATAAATCCTCTAAGAAAACTATTGTTCAACTAAGTGGCTGAATTGTAAGGTAGGTTAAGGGGGGAAGTGGTGGGGACCAAGGTCAGGGAGAAGGAGTTGGAGAAGCCTCAAATGTAATTCAGCACATCCAAATTCTGTTAAAATGACAAAGTCAAAACCACACCAAACCCAGAAAAATCTACATCTTATCTCCAGACAGAGTTTTTCTTGCATGTAAGCTGTACAGTTAGTACAAGTGGCTGCTGATACTCTGCTCTAATTATGCATCATGACCAACACTAAGCTCAGTAGCCACCACAGACTAAGGAGCTTTCATTTAGCACATTAGGATTTCTGCTTCTTTTATGTAAGAGGGAAACCTGGGGGAAGAAACTGTTTGATTTTATTTCATTTTAATGGCATCAAAATATGGCACACACTTACACACAAAATTTGTCTGTCTTCTTTCCAACTTTCCAATTCTTCAAGCATTCAAATACGTAATTTTCTCCCACTCACTTATCTGGCACAATCCATATTGCCATTTACTCTGATTTCTTAGCTGTTTGCTCAGGAATTGCTTTGGGCCAGAGTTTGAGAAATGAGTAAGAAAGTCAAGAAAGACCTGGGATGCAACCACCCATTGCTGACTTCAACAGCAATTGTATGTTTGCAACTAATGCAGTCAGGCATGTGTCTACCAGAGCACTGATAAGTTTTTGACACTGTAATACCGATTCCAAATTTGCATTAATCTCAATAATAAATTTTAAACACGTGACATCATATTCCATTTTGAAACAAAGTCTGCCTTGTTATCTCAGTAAAAATCATATTGCACTCTGTTGCAGAAAGAAGTGACCTGGTCCAAAGCCCACTAATATCAATAAAGGAATTGTGTATTTTCCTCACGTCTGTGGTCATTTCACTCCTCAAGACTTTTAATTAACATCTATCTTTTTCCATGTTTTCATGTTTTCCATGTTCTATAGGGAAATATGGAAAATCTGATTTTTCACAGGCCAATTGCAACTCCGAGTTACACATACCAAATTCCCAATGAGGTGAATTGTTAGTTTCTTTTCTGAGAATCACTCTATTTTTGGCAGAAGACAAGAGCTAAAAATACATTTTGTGTAGCAGTAAGTTGCTAAACTTCCTAAGACTATAAAAGTCAACCAACTTAGAAAGTGCTATTGATTTTCAATAAAATAACTTGAAAGGTGGCCATTCTACTATATTAATTTATTTTTAGTATACTACAACTGCAAGTGATGCCATTATTATTATCAATATTATTATATTAAGGGATTAAATCCTTACACCTATATATAAACTAAAGGATAAGTATTGTATTTTTGAGAAATAACAACTGATGTTAAGGCACTTGGTAACCAATGAAAAAGTACTAGTATAAAATGTTCTTTGCTTATCTGTACCTCAGGTTTTAAGATGTGACGGTACTGTCGTCCAGGAACATTGCCATACAAAGATCTATTACACTTGCAATAGTCTCTTATTCTTCCCACTACAAGGGCAGAAAAATCTCCCCAAGTTAATGAAAGGACTTCCAGTGAGTTTATTTGTAACTGGACTGGTCCTGTAAATCTCATTTACTGGAGCATTAAAACTTCACAAGGTTGATATTACACATGGATGAGAATACACAAAATGTGTAAAAAATGTGCAAACGCAGAAAAGCATAAATAGGTTTTGCAGAAAAGCATAAATAGGTTTTGCAGAAAATTGCATTGCTTATAGAATGAAAGATACCATTGGCTCCTGAAGACCTTAGAGGAAACCCAGAATTTGAATGGCACTAGAGAACTAAGCTGAGAAAATGCCTGAAAAATTCTTAAGACAGGAGCATAAGCACAAGAAAACACTAAGAAATCTGGTGAAATGGAAATCCAGATATGTTCTCAACATGCATTCTCAAAAGGAAAGACAATTCCTTGTACATAGTTTCAGATTTGAAAAAAACAATTACTTTAGACTAAAACATACCTGGTTAAAAATTCCAGACTACCTTTGTTTTGTAGTACTCCCCCAACAGAAAAAAATAATACATATATATAGCACACAAAAAAAAAGAAGAGGGTTTGAAGAGCAAATCCAGGAGCAATCACATTTCAGGTGAAGTCTTCCAATTATTTTTTGTCTTTGTTAATTTATTTGTTGAGAGATTCAAATTCCAGTACAGGTAAGCATGTCTGACTCAAGTCATAGACTTTAGTCATAAAAAGTATAAAAGGTGGGATATATGCCTAGTGGAATCAGAAGATCAGATAAATTTTATTCTCTGACTTATGTAAAAATAATTTAAATGAACACTATCTGCACAAAGATTAACATGGCCACTCAAATGAAGAAGACTAAAATGGCTCAGCTCTACAAACCCTCAGGATTGCCTTACCTGGTGAAACTGCGTGCCAACAGAAGTCCTTTTTAAAAAAAAAAAATACACAAGGACCACTGATTTTCAAAGAACAGTATAATAAAGGTGACTATAACAATGAAGCAAAAAGATGACGTTACTAGTCCCAACATCTCTGCTGCCAGTATCATCTAGATACTGGAAAGTGTAGCTGCCCATCAGGCAACCAAATAAGAAAGGGTAATCCCACACTCGGTGGAAAACGAGTTGCCCACAGCAGGCAAAACAAGATGACTCATTGACACAGTTTGAAATTCTCAGCTTCCCTAGTGCTTTCATTTCAGAGTGAAGGTTATTTATACAGTTATTTTTTCTAGCATTACATATGGATAATGAGAATTCCTCTTACTTAACTGTACCTTTCAAAGGACAGAAAAGTAATTTTCTCACAAACACGCTGCAATAACTCTTTGGCCTGACATTTACTTTTTTTGATCTCAGCTGGCACGAAGAACTGTGATTTTTAAACAACTTTTTGTTTTACTGGGCAGTGCACCAAGGATTCAGTCCAGAGAGGGACTTAGTAGCAAAAAACAGAACACCTACGTTCAGGCACTTGGACCTGAAATGGAAATCAGACCCAATGGTGAATGTCTAGGCAAGGCACTTCAGAGCAGTTTCCAAAGCAACTCTCTCTCTCAGCGGGGAGCCCTGTGGACGAGCCAGTAAGAAACACTGCGAAGACACATATAACAGAAGTCTTGTGCCTTTCTGGGGCACCTCATTTGGCACTCAAGGGCATCTTGCCACTCTGGAATCACAGCTCAGACTGTCCCTAGAAAAGTATGTGCTTTTTAAGTCCCCACTGTTGGATTATTTTTTTTTCCTTTCAAAACACATCTAGCAGAGGCACTAACCTGAGACTACCACTCAACTATACTTCTGCTCAATTTCCTCTTTCTTCTTATGAGGTGTCAGTCCACATGTTTCACCTCTAGAGAGTGCCATAATACTAAATAGTCTGGGGGAAAAACTGGACATTTCTTCTGACAGCCTTAACCACTAGCCTACTAAATTGTGTTCTCATTTGCTGGTCCTTTGCTTCTTATTATTTTCTATATGGTGAGGCAGGAATATGCCATCTTCACACTTGCGAATACACCGTAATTTGGCGATTAGAAAAAGGTCCTGAAAGATAAGAAGAGATGGAAGTCTGACGCTCCCAGAGGTGATATTAAACTGAGGTCCGTTGGGCAAACAAAGTAGATTTTGTGAAATTATTAAAATTTCCATTGTTTATATTCATAATTGCAGATAAAGTCTCAAACCCTTGTTATCTCATGCTTACACCTTTTTGTCATAGCAAAAATGTGCCATATCGCTGAAGTCTGTCTGTAAAACTAAAATTACATGTTGGAAATTATATCTATATTTACGATATCTGTGTTTATATCTATGCACACAACAAAGCCAGAAAGTTTAGATTTTTAAAAAAAGTGTTCTTTATGTCATTACTGCTGAGGCATATTCAAATAAAACAAGTGAACTCAAAATATGTTACTAAATTTATCTACAAACTTCAAACCAGTGTATAGCATATGTATAAAAAAGACCTATGAAATATTATTTTTCTTTGTTATACAATAGTTTACCACTGGTTAGCAATGTTATACACAGAGAGGTGTACACTAAAGACACGCAAGTATGACTCACTGTGGCTTTTTTCTTCCCTCTCTAAATATAGGTTTGTAAACTGAATTTAAGTAGGCTTTCTTTTTTTTCTTTCTTCTCAAAACAGAAGCCAAAAAATATGGTGGTTTCTTTCCAAACAGACATTCCTTTTTAACAATAAGATTTAGCAAAGATAAAAAATGCCTATTATTTAACAGAATATTAAAACAGCCTTGCTGAACTGGATTATGTATTTGCTAAGCTGTGACTATTGTCAGTACCTAAAACATTCCAATTCAAATAGCATAGAAAACATGAAGAACCTTTAATCTTGAAAAAATCTGAAGAAAGGAAGGTTTCATGGAGAGTAGAATTGGATTCTGGAGCTTATTCTTCATAGAGAATTCTTAAATTCATTCACAGGTTTAATAAGGATTCCCTTAAACGTCACTGTCACTTAGCCACTAGATGCTTTTCTGAAATCAGTTAAAAGGCTTTACCTCAAATGCTTGAAAGGTTAATCCTACATTGTAGTTTTCTGACACTGTTATTTTCCACACACATTCCTTCATTGGTCTGTAGTCATCAGGATAATTGGGAGACTGGATCTGGCCTTCGTTTTTGTGGATTTCACCTCCACAAATAGCTGATAAAAGCATAAAATTCTTATTGTCAATAATGATGTTTTCTGTTCCCCATGCCCAAACTGACATTTTATGCTCTGCTTTTTAAAACTAATGATAAGGTTATTCTGGAGAAGACTTAAAAAGTCTACCAAGGACAAATTCTTGAAAACACAAACATTTAAATCACTATATCTATTTCAGCTAGCAAACAAAATTTAGCATTTGTAATAGCTCTAACCACGTCTACAGTGTTCAGGAAGACTTCAGAAACATGGGTAATCTGAATCTATACATTCTACAGGTTATGTTTAAAAGGTCAAAATAATTAGATTTTACTTTTTGTTCACCTTTGAAACATTCTTCATTAATATTTAGTAACCTTTACAGAGACAAATAAGACAGAGGTCTCATATTTTATAATGGTCTATGCATTTTGACCTACAGTTTATTACTTCAAGCTTACACTGAATTTGAAGAAACAGCTAATACAAATAAAAAATACTTTCATGAAAAGTAAATGCACATTTCAGGGTCCATACTGATAACCGTGTAAAGATCTGTGAATATCAACTCAATCATACAGTTTACTACCACGGATTCAATATTTAAGACAACAGGCTCTATTTTAAACAGGTGAATGTTGACTTGCTAATATACTTTCTGTGTGGGAGTGTCTCTGGTAAGTAATCCCAGAGCATATGGAAAACTTGTCAGATTTTTCTGAAGAATAAACAGAAAGTACTCAAAGAAAGCTTTCCACAAGCTAAGCACAAGAACATGAACATTTAGTTAATTAAATGACTGGTAAAAAATGCTTATGAATATTAGATATTAGGAAGAAGTTCTAGGCTGTGAGGGTGGTGAGGCACTGGAACAGGTTGCCCAGAGAAGCTGTGGATGCCCCATCTCTGGAAGTGTTCAAGGCCAGGCTGGATGGGGCTTTCAGCAACCTGGTCTGGTGGGAGGTATCCCTGCCCATGGCAGGGGGGTTGGAACTAGATGAGTTTAAGGTCCCTTCCAACCTAAACCGTACTATGATTCTATGATTAGCAGTGGTGTCAGTGGAAAAGAGGTCATCTGAAATCTGATCACAGAAAGAGTTTCAAAATGTCCTGTCTAGTAAGTTAACACCTACTGTCTCTTTTAGTAATAAAATATCGATTTCATATTAGCTTATTTCTGACACTTTTTTTTTTAATAGCCAAAGGTATCCAGTTAATATTTTTCCTCCATAATCAAGTCATCTTTAATGCTGTAAGAGGCTTACCTTCATAAATTGCTGCAAAACCTTTCCCAACCCAGTTGCTGCTGCTGCGGAACTCGATCCACATCCTGCTGTCAGAGGATGCGAGGACTTCTGGCAGTTTGTCACCACAAAACCTGCCTAAAAACATGCAACCAGTAACTGCATTTTCTGCCACCTCTGAAGCCAAATGCTGCAAACATTTATACAAATGTTTAACATATAAACAGAAGTAGCATAACCAACTCAGTGGAACTATTCACACGCTTATGGTTAGCACATGGGTTTCTGCAGATCAGGACCTAGTATACAAAGATTTTATTATAAAGCTTTCAGTACTTCTTTTCTTTGCAGTCAGACTCACAAGTCTAAGTACAAAACCTTAGGGGAATTAAGTAGAAAAATTATTGTTATAGACTGTTTCTATACATACAAACCTGGGTGTTTTGGAAGGGGAAAGTGAATACAAATCTTAAGACAGGAACATAACCTAGGTCACAGTAATACCGCTTATTGTGCCTAAGGACCAGAGATTTAAAAACTAACATTCAAATGACCCTAGACTATATTATCCTCTTAAATTCAGCCTAGGTAGGTGAAATTTCTGTTTGTCTAGGTGATAGAGATGGGAACAGGAGAAAAGAATAATTACTGTCTGGTCTTAATTCTTTCTTCTTTCTTTTCTTTTTAAGGCCAAGAAAACAGGCACTACTTTTAAAAAGCTGTCCTCTCTATCTGCTTCCTTTTCTTTCTTTCTTGCTGTTTTTAAATTGTGGCTGTTAGGACACTAATAAATAGTTTTAGTCTTCATTCTAAAAACAGCAACAAAATTGACCCCAAGAAATTGGAGACGTTCATGTTTCCTAGGGTCTGAAATCCCCAGTTTCAATCCTAGAAGATCACAGGACATCAAACCGACCATCTGGATTAGGCAGTGGCATTACAGGGTGTGAAATCTCCCCACCAGCCCTTTGAATTAAGAAAAGGATGGCTGCACTTTCCTGCATATTAGTTGCAATTCAAAGACTTAATTCATTATTGCTTTGCATGTCTTTTCTCTGCAAGAGCAGGGAAGGACATGTGAAGAAGAAATAACCTTCTATTAATAATTTTAAAATTACAGGAACAGAGCTGATAAATACAACTCTACAGTGGGCATGTGCTCATCACGTGCCCTATGGATTTCCCATCACATGCCCTACAGATTTGTCTGCATACTATTTCCCCATTTCTGTGAACAAAACTATGGCAACTTCATATTCAAATACCCACACGCAAAGCAAAAAGTTGCATATTTTGTAGTTTTCATCTTTCCACACACCAAGCTGGATAACAGCTAGCTGCAATCAAAAGAAGGCTTGAGACTTGAAGTCAAATTAACGACTTATTGAGGCCATTTAGAGGTTTTTTCCCCATCCCTAAGTTTAGAATCATTCTAGACACCTCAAAGCCAAGAGGTTTGTTGTGAGTTCAACAGCACACAAGTCCACTGAACTAAATGAGTGTGCAAACTACAGACAGTGCAGCATTCAACAGTTGCATACCAAGCAGAGGTGATTTTCTCCAGTAGCCATCTCTTACTTCAATATAGTCATACCAACAGAGACTGCTCTTGTAAAGGTCCATGGTGGTGAAGTTTAAAACAATCTGCAATCAGAGGAGAGTACCTAATTAAATCATGTGTGGTTGATACTGGAAAATGATCACAACAACATTCTGCAGAACAGAAGCCATAGTGGTCGCCTGTAACAGGATTGCAACTTCTTAGACACTTAATTAACCTTTCCTCAATTATTTCTTATAGTAAGTAGAAGTTGCTTCAGAACATTAAAAGTTTTCTATTTAATCTTACACATCTGTGCAAATTCAAGACAGACTATTCACATTTAATTGCTTACAGGCAGCTTTTCACTGAGAAAAAGCATTGAGAATGCTAAGGTAAAATAATGTGCTAATATAATTTTAAGTATGTTGTTTTGATAATTCTCCTGCCAATTCCTCTTCCATTCTGACTATAATCAGCACTGACAGCTGTAAAAAAAAAGTAATCGTGGTTTTATTTTGGTTTGCATTTCCTTCTACTATTGTTTTGACAAGATAATTTACTTTCAGAAAAGTTAAATATTGACAATGGCGGACAGTAATGCTGAAAGTAATATCACTAAAACAAATGTTACACAATCCCTTAATGACTCTTAATGAAACTGTAATAAAGCTTTTTATATTGAAATCTGAGTTCTGTACATTTCTGGAACTTTTGAACTTCGACTCCCAATTTTGCTGAGCACATCTGAAAATAGGCATATTTTCAACACATAATATCAGGACTACCCTAGACCATTATGTTATCCCACTTTGGTTTAGAAATACTAATCCTAAACTGCCATAAACTTATACTTTTAACACAGTAGTAGGATTCATCCTGGATCACAGGATAACACAATAGCTACAGTTTGGACCCTGACTGACTGGGACAGTCTTAGCATCATGTCCTGCAATTTCAGGACCAAACAAGAAGATTAAAAATCCTTCACATTTTTTATTATAAAATCATTTCCAATTCATAACGTTTCATTGGATTTAGGTGGTTTTGGAAAAAGAATTCATATTCTTCCAAATCAGCTCCTCAGTGTAGATTAATAAATATTTCAACCTAACTAAAAATCTTCTTTATTCACATATGAGCATAGAAGTGGTTTTATTTTTAGCTTTGATCCTAGGATTTCACAATCGAAACCTCCTATTATATAGCAAACATGAATTGCTGCACAGTAGCAAATACCTCACACTGCAAAAATATATCTCCATGGCAGCCTATGAAGCAGCTGTGAGTGTCAGTTGAAAGGAGAGGAATTTACCCTTGGTCCAGCTGCAAGGAGGCAATATAACACCATAACTGGAACAATGGGCCCAGACAGTCAGACGGGATGGTTTACTTCCATCTCCTCTGAAGACACCATGTGTCTCTCTAACCACACCACAGTACAATATTAAACCAAAAAGGCAGAAATTATTCAGACCGTTTCATTTTAAGATGACAAAATACTACTTTAAGAAGATAAAAACTAATTTAAAGATAATATAACGCTGGGCGGTTTGAGTGTGGAGGTGGTAGAGAGTCACAGTAAGGCTCTTATCCAAAGAATGGAAAATGGACATAATCTTTCATAGCAAAACACTATGTGTCTTAACATTAGGCTAGCAGGAGTTTAGCTTTCACTTACGTTCCACAAAAAATAACTAAGTACATCCATATGAGCAATTACATTCTCGAAAATATTTTTTGTTTTCAGTGGAGAGTGGGAAAATTTCTGACTTAACCTTAAAAGCTGTATCTTCCCCTATCACCTCGTGCTGACACTGCTGATCAGGTGGAAGACCAAGCTCACAGGTGATTCTATTCAGCTTTCACCTTTACTACCATGATGGCATGGGAAACAGAAAACATCTGTAAGGCTACACATAAAGCCCAACAGCCAGAAGTCCGGTACAGTGAGGCACATTCTGTTGGCAGCCACAGCCTTGTGGGATGAAGGTATGGGACACAAAGCGTGCCAGGGACCATCAGGACAGCACTGAATAAATGAATACTTGTTCTGATGGTTGAGTATGGCCAAACATTTATATCCACAAGCTGCTACTGCATCCACAAAACCTGCAAAAGTGTTGCTTAAACAGCAGTCTGCCTCTAGCAGTGTGTTCTCCATGGGAACACCCTGCAAGCAGCTTTGGTACATATTTAGTGTAGCAGATGCAACAAATATAGCCTGCCCTCTCCCTTTTGGCCCCTTCCTTCTGTCATTTTTAGGGCCATAAAGGAAGGCAATAATTTAGTCTCAGATCTATATGCCAGGAATGTCTGCTTCAATGTTAGTTTGATACTTTGGAAATATATTTAGATAATATTAACTCATGTTGAGGCTACCATTGGCACTCTGAATCATCTGACCTATAACAATCAATAGTCATAAAATTATATTGTAGGCTTCCTTCCTGAGCTCAGAGATGAAACTGGACGAATGTGCAATCAGACACAATAGCCGTGCAGTCTCTTCTCTTTGTTGCAACAGAAATTACAGTAGAAATTAATATATTTAAGGAAAACATGTTCCTTATACTGAAAACTTTGCAGTAATAGTTATTCTAATATTTTGAACTATTTTTCAGTATAGATACCCTTTCCCTGGACTTTGAAAAACAAAGCAAATTAAGTCTTAATGAAACAAAACAGTTTAAATTAATATCTTGTATTATGTAGACAGAGGATGTTGTCATAAGCATGGAATTTAAGAAGATAATAAAATGCTCACCCAGTTAATCATTCATTGAATTAGAACAATGAAGAGTTTTTGTATAGAAAATACATCAAATCAGTACTTTTAAAGCTAGAGCAAGTAGGGAATTGAGGGGAGAGGGGTGTTGCTTGTGTCTTTTGGGAGGAGTTTTTTTTGGTGAAGCCAGTAAGCAAATCATCCAAACAGTCCACTGTTGAACTCCAAGGATTTGAACTTCCAACTTTGAGACATTCAAGATTTGATTCTAGATCTGCTATATCTCTGCAAGTTCTGTGAGCTAGACTTTAAGACTCCTTTCCCATTTCAGATATGGCTAGTCAGGTTAAGTAGAACAAATTTCAACAGCAGATGGACAACTGGAAAGATTCAGGTAAGCACAGCAAATGCTTTGGACACAGTCTCAGCAGAGCAAGCACTACAATCCAGTTTTCTACTTAACAACCTCTATCTTCAGCCCAACTATTGAGCTACATCTCTCTTCAGATTGCTCTCACTTCCCCCTTGCCAGTTTTTCATCAGGGCCTTGGTGGAGAATTTGTATGAATTTTTTTTTTTAATTTTGCAAAATAAGAAGCGTTACTGAGAAAATTGTCAGAAATCCTTCAATGCCATGCTGCTTAGTTTCCAGACTACTGCACTGTTTACCTAAAAATGGCATGCATCACAGCATTAGTTGATCCTCTCAGCTGGCATTCACTAGGTTACTGTGATCGTGTCCATCCACATGCTTTCATGCTTCTTTTAGTCTAACTGCAGCACCTCCTGTTTCAACTTCCCTGTCTTTTTTCCTGGACACAGACTTACTGTGCCATCCCTTCCATGGAAAGGGAACCTCACAACTCACGTCTTTGCTTTTGCCTACTGCTACATCTCTCAAACTTCTTCTAGCTTATTTGCACCCTTTCCCAGATGTCTAACCCACAGGGCATTTTGCAGTTGCTATTCAGGCACTCCTTCAGGGACATGTACTGAAGAAATAAATGCACAGATATTATCAGAATTCCCAAACCACCTACTTACCATGTTATTCTCCATGAGAAACATGCAGATCTGGCTAAAAATACAATCATTCATGTGCTCTCCTCTGCTTCAGTTTTCTATTACATTTCCAAGTACTATTTGAATCTGCCTCTGAGGATGGCAGAGAGGTCCTATATATTCTTTCATTCAGACAGCAATTCTGTCAGTCCTTTGCAGACTGTTTCTTCTTCAGCCTGTCCTTCAAATAAAGAGGCCTCACCAACTGCAAAATTTTTGTTCTTCCCTTCATCTCAATCACTTTGCAGTTCAGATTCCTTCTAAACTCTTACCTTTTTTTTTTTCCCCCCCAAGTTTCTCAGAGCATAGGTAGGTATCTCTGTTTGTATCTAGCCATAATACTTGAAAACCCTACTGCCCTCAACAGTCATCTTCTCCTTTTCCACCCATGCCCACTTCACCCCAGCTGTGCAGGCAGAGGGGCTCACAAGGGGGAACCTTTTTCTCTACCCAGATGAGATGCAGACAGCTGGGTTAGGCTGGGTTAGGGAAGGTCAGGCTACCTTCCACAGCTGCTTAAGCTAACCCAGCCAGCTCTGTTGGAAGCAAGTTATGGAAGCCACATCCTATACCTCCTCCACTGGCTCAGCTGTGTGGAGCCTGGAGGTCTCTAACCAGTCTAGCCACAAGTTTTTCATTTTCCATGACACAGCTGAAATATCAGATTTCTCCGGTTTCTCTTTGGAAATTTGTGTTTTTGCAAATCTTAGTTGCCAGGATAGAGGTGGGAAAAGAATGAGTTTACTTAGGTGCGATCGTGTCATTGTCTCAAAGTGCTGCTATCTAAATGGAAACCATTAAAATTTAATAAGCCTCCTCAATGGCCCCGTCCTTTGAAACTATACGAAATAACCTTTACAGCCTTTTCTCACTGTGACATGCCAAGGTATTTGATGATGCAGCAATTCCTTAACATTGACCAGAATTCATTAGCTGTACATACGCAGAACCCCCAATCAGTTACAGCATGATTTCTGGTCGGGAACGAAACAAGTATAAATATATTTAAGATTCTTATTTGCAATTCTGCAAAGTATGAAATAGAAGTACAGACAAGGCAGAGCTTGTTGAAGGGGACAGAATGGCTGAAAGTCTTCACAGGAAAAACAATCAATGGGTATTTGTCAGCACAGTTAAGGAATTATTGATTACACAGCAGATTCAATTGTGCTACTGCAGAGAGAATATATCATACCTCCTACGGCCTGGGATAAGAAAACACAAAATACATAGCAAACACCAGGTAGTACTAACTAAGTTTTCTGCAGATGGTATTTTCCCCCGTATCCTAGTTTATCATTCATGTAAAATATTAAGGAAAATTGGAAAGTAATGTAACCTATTCAAAAAGGCAGATTAAAAAAAAAAAAAAACCTCAACACTTGCACAGTTGCAACTCCCTATGCCAACAAAATTTCTACACACCAGAAGGCGGGATTCGACCTGGCAGAGGGCATAACAGTATTACAAACACCATACGCCCCCAGAGATTTTTCTGTGTATAGATATATTGCATACAGCTGTTTACCATATAGTCTTAAATCTTGAGAGAAAGTAAAAGGTAAAAGAACTGCCTTGTTTTAGTAATAGGGACGCATATATTTTACATTGGGGTGGCAATTTATGCTGCCTGACAATAAAAGGAATACTGCAGCTAGTGTGTATCACTGCAATCCCGTCCTTCATTGTATTTCCTGCCATCAAAGATTCAGAAGTGTCTGTACTTGCAGAAAGCAGTACCGATAGAATAGAAGTCCTCTAAACTATGCTAAAACAGCACAATGTTAAATCTCAATAAATAAGAGACAAGAGTTAGACAATCTGGACTGATGCTTTTTCAGTTTATTTTTAGGTGACTAAAGTGCTCCCTGACATTTCAGAACATGATGTGATGTACTTATACATACTCTAACCTCCACACAACATTCCTGAGAGCTATCAGGGTCAAAGCAGCAAACAAAGAAACAAAATTTAAATATATGTTTATTTTCCCCTCATAACATGAATATGTTATCATCATTTACTGAGAAAATTTGGGATCAAGCATAATGTGTGCCCAAGGTACTGTGATATATGCATTAGTTAAGATTTAGACCCCATTTCTGCTATTCATATCCAAGTACTTGCTCCAAATAGGGACCTTTATCTCAAAACAGACAATATCCTATGGGAACAGCCCTGACAAAACAAACTTTTTGACATTAGCACAACTATCATTTACTTTGTTCTTGCTGGACTATATGGAGACTATGAGAGCTGGAGGTCAGAACAGTGCTCTACAGATACAACTTGTCATGTCAAATTTGAATTAGAAAATTCTTTTTGTTTTTTTCCCCCTTTTGAAGCAGGGGGTAAGATGGGAAGGGAGTCGGTCTTCTTACATTGCTCACTTCAAGACAGGGGTTTTCCCCCATTAAGCTTTTGTCCAGCATAATACAGCTGCAGTGGTGGTTACAAACTTAAGACATAATGGTATCACAAATGTATTACAACTACACTAACCTCCACAGATAGGCTTGCACAGAGTTGGAGTATGCTATGAATACTTAAGCACGACCATTTTCTAACTCATACACTGACATTGTTTTCAAAAGCCAATAATAATTTTAGATGAACGCTAGAATATTTTAAATTTTTAACTGAGGAATAGAAAAGAAACCTAAACCATTTTTGTTGTTATCACAGCAGTGTCTAAGAAGCAACACAAACAGTGGCGACATGAAATCACCTATCTAGATTAATTTGCATCTTTTGCACAAACCTTCTCCTATTCATCTGTTTTCATTTGTTTTTCCCTGCCAACCTGCAGAGCCACCCACGCCCTCCCAGCACAGAGCGTGTTTATTTTTCATCCTGTCTCTGGCTCTTGCCCAGAGGAGGGCGAACGCTTTCCAAATGACTTTTTTTGCTTTCATCCCCCACAGTGGCAAATGCTCTTATAGCTCCTCAGGATCTATTAGCACATCAAGAACTTGTGTTCTTAATGTCTACCAGGACCCTGACCTGAAAGAAACATGGAATAAAGTAATCCAATCAGGAGAAAACTGTGCCCAATATGGGGGGGGAGATACCACTGACAAAGTGGACTGAAATAACTGCATTTTCCTCTTTGGACTCTCCAGTACTGAGGCTGGGGCTGAGGTTCTATATTTCAGTCTTTAGGCTGCATTTGCTTAATACCGGCCACTGCTTCTTGTAAAGAAACTTACATCCATTTTTTTTGTCCTGCATATTTTGTCCCAGCTGAAACTTCCCATTGCTCCCTCTATCCTTATTTATTTTGAGACAGGCTAACATTTGAGCCAATAATTTAAAACAAGATTCAGCTAGCACATTTTGAAAGCGTACACAAGTAGAACAGGTTTTGCTTTCCCTAGGATGGCAAGCTTCTCGCCCCGAACTGCTCTCACCAGGCCAATTCCTCCCCGCCCCAGCCTTTTTCCTCTAAAATTGATGCCCAGAAAGTAAAACTGTATGCACTAGAACCGATACCAGGGAACACCTACAATGACACTTTCTTCACCGCACGTTAGTAGCATTTCATTTTAGAAACACGTCATTCAACATACTAAGAGCTTTCTTAGGCCAAGCCCAGCTGTCAGCCCCACACAGCTCAGCCAGCTCGCCCAGGCCCATGATGGAGAAGAGACCATGCAGGAGTCTGAACTACCTCTTCCACCTTTACACTGAACCACCAAGTGAACTGGAAGCCAGTTTTGAAGGGTTTTCACGATGAAAACATAGCAGATTGACACCATGCCTTCATTCGCCATGGACAGCCACCAAATAGGTGATGCGGTTCTAATGCCACAGACCAAAGTCAAGTCAATAGCACGTAGTTAGCTCACGGTCTCATTTTTATGGCATACCGTTGTTTTCAATTATTATGAAAGCTTTAAACTTAAATGAAAAGCTAAGGAAATGCAACATTTTATTTTGAAAATAGTATCTGTGTTTTGCCGATGAAATGTTAAAGTACCTTCTCCCCTGGGGTCACAGAGATTCTCCATATGCAGTGTGTGTAGGAAGGATAACCATTTGGAAATCCTGGAGAAGAAAAGTTGCCTGTAGATTCCTGCAGTGTTTCTCCACAGGCTGAAAGAAACAAAATAGAGTAAAAATATAAAATTGAATGCACTTAACAAGGAAAAATGCATCTTTCCGATATCTACTCACAATATATTTAACTCACTGCAGATGCAGAATGTAAAACAGACTAGTTATTTTATGATTTATTCAAAACAATGATTTTAAGCCAGTCTGACATTCATTCCATTTTACACAGGATGTTTTTATTCCATGAACTATTTCACTTGTGTGCTGTCTGCTGACATAACGAAAATTACAGCAGTCTTAAAAATGTCATTGCTGTCAATCAACTGCAAAATTATACACATTCTTTTTTTCACCAAAGTACAGTTGTTAGCCACACCCTTAGACACATCCTTTAAGAACTAAAACAAAACTAAAACAAAAGCTGGCATGGCATGATTGGCACCACATTGGAATTTCATCAGTGGTTTCATTTAATTTAGTACTTTGCCCACATGAGAGTCACTTCCAATCCAAACTATTCTATGATTCTACGAGAGAGTGATCTGACCTGAACTTAGTCATTTATATTGGTATAAAAAACTAAGTCATATATTCAACAAAATCTCTTATAACAGTGATTTGTAGACATGTGATTAATAGAGCAAAGCAAATGGAAAGGCCTAAAATACCAAAGGCTTTTATATTCTTTATTATTGAAGCTTTTAGCACCCATATCTCACCTGTCAATCATGCTACTAGCTGCTGGTGGACTGATTAATAATTCTTCACACTAAAATACAGCATTGGAAGCTCCTGCCATTCTCCACCATTAAAACTGATTCGGGTAGGGCGTCACACCTCAGTCAGTCATCTTTTTTGACCTTATTCAAGTTGTTTCACCCACCAATTTTGCAGGTGTGATACGGGAGATGTGAATTTGAGAATATTATCCCATGACTGACAGTGTAATCAGTTCTGCAGTGCTTTCAAATTACAGTGCTACCACTGCCAGCAGGTGAACTACTGTATCATCAAAATCTCAATGAATTATAAATGATCTGGAAAATCTTTAAATAAAAGGGGACAAAGGAAGAGATTGTTTATGACAGGGACAGACAACACAGCTGTACAGGCTGTCTTGTTAAAATGCGTCTAAGATGTAATCTGACAACTACACTGTAATATCAGGCATAAGCTACATTCAAGGCATCAAATATACTCTCTGCCACTGAAATGGTTATTGTGATGGGGAGAGAAAAGAAAGATTGGTGCAGCCCCCAAAAATTTAATGGCTAAAGTCACCGTCACTGTGTCTTTTAGGAATGAAACAGAAACAAAAAAATTCTTTTACTCCCCTCATTTTAAAAATGTGGTTTTAATTTAAAAAAAAATGCAGGCAGCCACAGCAAATGACACATACAAAAAAGGGTATTCCGTGCTAAATAATTCTTTCTGTACAAAGCCTTTTCAGTGAAAAGGCTATATCCATAGTTAATCACAGAATGGTCAGGGTTGGAAGGGACCTCTGGAGATCATCTAGTCCAACCCCCCTGCCACAGCAGGTTCACCTACAGCAGGTTGGACAGGACTGCATCCAGGCAGATTTTGAATACCTCCAGAGAAGGAGACTCCACAGCCTCTCTGGGCAGCCTGTTCCAGGGCTCTGACACCCTCAAAGTTAACCACAATTTATTTTTAACACAGTGATGAATGCAAACTTAAATAAACTGCAGAGTACTGTACTAGATTCCCCAGCGCTAGTGAACTGTATCGTAGCTCACAACGCATACATATAGCACTTAAGAGAAGGCCAAGAGTAAAATCATAGTCTTGTACCGGAGTAGAGGAAAGCAGAGCCCAAAGAGGAGATACCCTGCGCAGCAGGTGCATGCAGGACTCAGGAGATCTGTGAGGATCCAAGTATTCTGCTCACCACCTTTAGAGCCCTCTCTTGTTCTTCCCTCCATGCACAGCTCTGTTGAGACTACGCTGCATCAGCGTACTATCACAAGGCATACAACCATATTTCAAGCTTTAGCACATCTTCTGTTTGCTCTAGCTATAACTATTTCACCAACACTGCAGTTACTAAGGAAGCGTTGAGAAGACGACACCGTGAGAGATGGGGAACACTGTTTGTCCCATCTTCTCTGCTCACATTGCATTTTTTTCAATTAACTGTAACTTTGACTCACAAATATTGATTTTGAAGTCCTGCAATGCACACACTCACACCATGTGAAGTATGTAAGCAAAAAAAATGCCATCAAGTATGCGCGACAAATGAGATATCAGTTCAAATGCAGCCCTGCAATTAGAGAGAGGAGAATGGCCCTGGCATAACTAGCCCTTACTCTATTAAAGTCCCTAAATTACACCATTATAAAAGCAAACACACATCAATGATTTAAGCATAATGGCTTTACATTTTTGTAAACATTTCAGAATTTTTCTCTCTTATACAGAGTGCATGATTATTTTCTCCAGAATATTAATAACATTCCATCTCCATATACAGAAGTTGTATACGGCCTTAAAACCATGGATTTTAATTGTCAAAAGGTGCCGTGGGACACTTTCTTTTTCTAGGAATTATAGAATAAAGCTAGTTAATATAACAATTTAACTTATATCCATATTAAACACCTAGGAGCTCTCTATCAAATCAAAACTTTCATAAATTCTCTGAATTTAAGGGAAGCATAAGAAAAATTGTAATTGGGTAACTTCTAAGAATTAACACAATTAGAATTTATGAAATATGTTTGGGCTTTACATGTTTCACCACATTTATGATTTAATTTAAAATTCCCTGCTTACTCAAAGGAACTATAACAAGAAGAGCTTATACAAACCAATAGTTCAATTAATTATCTATGGGATCTGAGTTCCAGGCTGGCTTCCCGAGCTGCTGTAGACGGGGTGATATTTGGACATTACTTGTTTAAAAGCACATTGCACCACAATGGGTCAGTGGTAATTGAAACAGTTAACTTTCTGTCACTAGAGAATGTAAAAGTTTTCTCTGTAATTGGACTGTGGCAACTACAGTATTTGTGATTAGGCTTATAAAATGGTATATTATAAATGTTCTACCATGCGATGGTCCATTATTAATGGAGTCCACTTTGGGAAAGAAATGTAGAAGGAAAATGAGTGGTAAGGGCCACTTATTTAAATTTCCTAAAAACTAATCTTAGTATATTTCATGTCAGAAGAAATTAATTACAACTTCAGTCTTATAGACATCTGCTTTATAAAGCATTTGTACTTTTTTATTCCATTCTTAATCATTAACATTGCCAACATTTTCTGTGGTGCTTTTTTCCCCTCTCAAATGTCATGCCTTATATCGATTTTACTAGGCTGGACCCTTTGCAGAAATGCCACTTAGCTCTCCCTACACTAACACTCCAACCAAAACCACAATCTCCTGTCTGTTTTACAACATGAGCAGGTTAGGCTTCTCATAAGCCTCTCTGTGGTAAGGAAAGGGAAATTATTTTTGCTTCTCTTTGTAAAGATTAGCAATGAGTGCAGGCAGCAGGTAGATTATATACTTATATAAAGCAATTTCTACCAGTGAACTCTGTGGCAATGTTTAATTACACAGCCTGTGTATAACACCTCTCTGGGCTGGCCTACGCACACAGTCACTGTCCATTAAGGATTATAGTGAAATCTGCAAATGACAAAGCCCAGATCCTCCAAGACATTTAGGGATCCAATACTCATTCCGTTGTCCCTAGCACTAGCAAATACATACTGCCATATACGGTTAATTTAAGCTTACCCTTTTACAAAGAGAATAAAGACCTTTAATACTTTTTACTTAGACCCAAGTCTGTACATCTCTACGTATACGGCCTATATAGCTGCCACAGAGTCCCAAAAATATCTGGTGCTGACAATGTACTTGTTAAACCAAAAACTCAAATCAGTTTAGTACAACTCAGTGTCTTACCGTTGACTTGATTCCCCTTTATAGTTATAGGGAAACAGTCTTAATCTGAAAACCTTAATCCTCCTTATGTAGTGAATAAAGGCTGACTTTTGAACTTGAACACTCCTTTTTAATCTCATAGAGATGGGAACAAATTAAGCCTCAGGAACAGCGACGACAGCACAAAAATGGGCCAGGCTAGGTATCCTTCACCTGCTGCCACAGACCCTGGCAATTTGTAAATTTGCTGAACTTTTTCCATCCACTGTCTCTTCCTCTGAACAGCCTTCTCCTGCCAGTCTGAGCCTCCTTTCCCATCCGTTCTTCAACCCCACTCTACCCACTTATTTTGTCCTCTTTTTCTGCCTAACGGTATCCTTCTCCATCATCTCCCTTTCCTATTCTCTTGCTCCTATAAAATTACATATACATTTTAAATCAACTACAATTTCTATATAGAACTATAAAGGTAAACCTGTGTTGAAATTTTAGTAGGTACACCAAAAAACCCCATATTCTATTACTCTGTTAGACAGTCTGAAAACCATTGTAATACATCCAGCCTTGAAGTTTAAAATCTGTTCTCAAATGTGAGGACACTCCAAGTTCAAAATAAGATTGGCAGAGGAAGGACCCTCAACTTAGTTGCTTACTTTCTCCTTATTCTATCATGTAACAATGTAACTCAGTATTAAAATGTAACAGATCCCTATCAGCAATTAAGTTTTCATTTGACAAAAATCCTAAGAAAAAGTTAAAAACAAACCAAAATTACTGTTGCTAGGCGGTTGAGTGCTGGCACTTACTCAGCTGATGAAAGACAGGTTATCAAATCTCATGCCTTGGTTTCACCAAGCTCAAAACTGTTTCTTGGTCACTAAGCCCTTTCCTGAAGAATGACCCTGAATATCCCGACTAGCTAAAACAACCTGGGAGGTTCAGCTGCCTCACTGTTGTGAGGAACAGCTGGATTCTCCAGCGGCCCCGAGCTCAGCTTCATGTTCACAGGCCCCAGAAAATGCACCAAGCTTCTTGGACCAGAAACTCTTAGCAGGAATAATGAGGACTCCAAAGAAAACATGGACAATACTGCAAAATCCTTTATCAAAGCAGCGTGTATCTCTGGAAAACACTGATTTAAGGCACTGTTTTCTGTATTTTCATTGCATTACATTTAAGGCAACACAAACAAACACATGAAACAATGCAGATGTTATTAACGTTTGAAATATTCACTGCTGTTTTATCATAAGCAGACATCACGATTAACATCTTTTGTCTGAAACAGGAAATACAGCAAACCTCCAAAAACAACAGTGTCAGGGATTTTATTGCCATATTCTACGACGATCACATGATTCTTTTCATAAAACCAAAATTTTCATGTCTGAATTTTCAGTCTCACTATTAGCTGAAAAATTTATTAGATCACAAGGACCGTGCAACTTTCAGAAAGTTGCTATCTTTATTGGATATTTAAGCTTGTGTTGTTTTATTCAGTCATGCTGCTTCTATCAAAAATATTAACTGAAAAAAATAGCGTGTTAAATAGTATGCTATCTAAAATTTGTAGCAAAACTTTCTGCCTTTTTCTCTCTTAAAACTTACTTTCTTTTACAAACTGGCTCGTCTAAGTAAGGCTAGAAAACCAACGTTTTTTATCCAAAAGTTTGCCGAAACAAAGGGCCAGAAAAGGAGCATGATCCCACAACCACCGTTCATTTTTATTATTCCTCTGAAGTGTGTTTACCAGCGCTGCAAAAAATAACCTACCTCGACAGCACACACTACTACTGAACAGCCATGGTTTTACAATACTGTGAAACTAACTTTCAACAAGACTTTCAAGACATTGAAAGAAACGATAACTCATCATTACACATTTTCATTAATTACATGAAAAGGATATTTTCTTGAACAACTATTTGAACACCAGCTCAAAAAGCACATCGCGCTTTTTTCAGTGATCTGAAAGTACATGTTAGGGTATTATATACACACTTAGCAGCCTAGGTTGTAATTTTTTTAGATTATTTTTTTTCTTTCTTAAGTCAATGTGATGATAAAATACTAGCTACTTTCACAGTGGTGTTGATTCGATTGTCTATTTCTGTCTCCAAAATTTGTCTTTTATCAAAATATATACATATTCTCCGTGTTTATGAAATCAGTGCTCTCTGTATACACTTATTAGAAATAACGCTGCCAAGAAGAATGCTATTATACACTTGCTGTACCAAAAGGAAAGAAGAAAAATTATTCCACAAGGAACAGTTGTTAAAGAAAATATGTTGAAGTGGTTTCTCCTCTGGCAGGCCCAGAAACGCTGTGCATGTTCTCAGTATATATAGGATTATGACTCAATGTACTTACAGCACAAAGGAAAAGCTTTTTTCAGCTGTACAGTGTACATTAAATGCACATCAGATCCCCCAGATCTTCAGTAGATCCCAGTGCTGCTGATACAAATCTGAAGCAGCTCCATCACTTCAGTCCTGATCCCTCTTTTTAGTCCTTCTGTATTGATCAGGTTGTAAAAAGTAGCCATATATCTGACTTGAAGCAGTTACTGAGACTTCATTAATTCCCACGAGGAGAGCAGGAGGGCTGTAAAACCTATGTGGCCCAGAGCTGGTATGTCTAGCCTCCCACAAGGACCTTGCTGGCAAATTCTGGCTGAGAGATGTCACTTCTGAACTGCTTCAGTTTACACCAAAGGTTACAACTGATCTCAGCTATAACTACAGCAAGGAAAGTAAAACCTTTTGCTTTGAGATTTCCACTGCTTTGCCAGCATTTAGACAGCAACCACAGGATTGACTCTGGGTTACTCCAGACTTGCTACTCATGCCTCTGGGACAGACAGCAACTCTCTACCCCAACGCTATTTTGAGATAAAACATTAATATGCATTGAAATTATAGGATGCTAGCATTAGGCAGAAGATATTCAAATACTAAATGCAACTGTTACAACTGTTTAGTTTGTAATAACATCTAACCAATTCATCCATAAAAGAGTTTACAACTTAGTTGTCCTGACCCGCTAATTGTCAAATTTTCAAAAAATGTAATGTTCAGGGGTGATTGCAATAATTTAATTTGCTCCTTCTGCACTCTGAATTCAAATAAAAAGCAGATTCCATTCACTATGTAAACGAGAAGTGATATTAAACATCATCTTTTTTTTCTAGTCATTGAACAGATAAGGAAAATACAGACTGAAATGTCATGACATTAGGTGTTGTTTCATACAGTTTATCTGTCCTTAAGTACTTTGCATTCCAGAGACCTTACCTATAAGGTTTCTTTTATGATTCAATTCTTGAACTGCCTATGTCAGTTGCCAACATGGAAACAGACTACTGTGCAGCTGACTCAAAAAATTTATCATTCCTCTTGAACAACATGTCAAACAGTTGCTAGCATGTGGGTTTTGTTTGTTTGTGGTGCAATACCTGGACATCTATACAGCTTTCTTGCCTGTGCAATATCTCCTTTACTTAGACGAGTACGCTGGCCAATGGCAGGTCGTATACCATTATCATCACGGGAAGGGAGAATGGTATCCAGAAACATGCCCCTAAAAAAAATAAAAATAAAAATAGACCCCAAAAAACCCTATCAGGATTCTGTCATAAAACTGTCTGAGTTTTATGGATGTATAATACTATTTTGTAAATCTAGAATTTACATTTGGCATAATTAAGAGGGTAAAACGCAGAACTTTAAATACAGAAAACATGTCAAAAATTCCTCAGGTTGGCAAACTTTATGCAAAGTTATCAAAAATAATCTTCTTTCAGTACATCAATTAACATATCAGCTTTTATATTTCTATTAGACAACAGGAGGGAAATCTCTTACTACTATTTAGACTAGACTGGAAAAAGGCACTGCTGTTAAGCTCTCACTATACTGAAAAAGTTAATTATAAAAATTATATAGAAACACATAAATCAGGCCCTATCACAAAATTCTTAATCACAAAGTTCCTATTTCTAATGACATTTCTAAGGAAAGGCTGACTTACATGTGTAGGAGTGTCAGGCACGCTTGCCAATCATTCTTCTTTCAGGTGTTATAACATCTCTAACTCTACTTTAGCCACAGCTGCTTTTGAAACATACTTACTTGCCAGCCTCTGCTTGCTTTACAATAAAATACATCAACTTACCATATGTGATTTTAACAACATTTATCCTGAATGACTAGATGTAACAGAAAGCACACTTGCTCCAAATGTGCAGTTTTATTCAAAATTTCCCAAATTTTAAATATGATCCAAAATACTTTGATAGTCTCAAATTTTAAAAGAGGAAGGTACAAAATTAAGTTCTATTATTATGTTACAGAATTTGAAAATCCCTCATATCCCATAGAATGGAAGTTAACAGATCTATATGTTTCTGTATTCTCTTGTTCTTAAAATTTTTTATACTCTCTTGTATACTTGTAGGGCTTTTATTGAGTATTGCTCTCCCAGTAAGATTTCTTGTGGCATCAATACAAATTTTGAAAAAGAAAGGGGAAAAAAGAAAGAAAGGGGAAAAAAGAAAGAAAGGGGAAAAAAGAAAGAAAGGGGAAAAAAGAAAGAAAGGGGAAAAAAGAAAGAAAGGGGAAAAAAGAAAGAAAGGGGAAAAAAGAAAGAAAGGGGGAAAAAGAAAGAAAGGGGAAAAAAGAAAGAAAGGGGAAAAAAGAAAGAAAGGGGAAAAAAGAAAGGAAAAAGGGAAAAAAGGGAAAAAGAAAAAAGAGAAAAAGAGAAAAAGAAAGAAAAAGAATCTTTTCAGGATGCTACCCTAATCTCAACAGTGAAACAAACTCCTTATGGCATTATGCAGTTTCTAGAACTAAGGTACATTGTTCTTTCAAAAAATTGTTTGTATCTAATAAATTATTATTTTATTTTCCACTGATTTTTAGTACAACCTGAAACTGATGCTATGCATATTTTGAAAAATGTGAAAACAATGCTCTCTTAAATGCCTTAGCATCACCTTAATAAGGGAACAACCTGTAACAGTTTTAACACAGCATGAACAACATCATTGTGTGTGACTAGAACTTTATAACGTTTTGATTTCTACTTCTTATCTGGGTGAGGAAGGTCTAATAACAAACAGCTGGCAGTATGTCACATTGAGCTCGACTCATGGTTTCAAGATAAATCAGTGCAAATCACTACATGACCTCAAGGGTTTGCTGGTTGTTTTTAAACAGTATGAAGTAACAACTTCTTGTACCTTAGGGCAGGGCATGCCTAGTCATGGCACTACCATTTTTTGCCAGTTGGAAAATGGTGAGATCAGGGACCACAAATCAAATTATCTTGATGTTGTCATTGCCCTAGGAGTTTGGGGGGTTCCAGCTTGTTAAATTACTCTATTTTATATAGGTTCTTTTAATCTTCTACTTAAGGTAATGTATCTGTAACTGCATTAAGCGATGTGACTAATATCTGCCTCATGTGACTCATTCCCATGCTTTTCCAGGGGTGAATTACATGCATGCTGAATACATCTTTGGTAGGATATTTTTATTTTTTTTTAAATAACATCATTTATATTGAGAACAAGCTTAAGAAATTGGCAAAGGCTGGCAAGGTTTCTGACGGTCTTCGGTTTATTTCAGTGTCTCAGGTTGTCTAGTATTTTTGCCTTAAAATGCACAAATTGAACCAATAAAAAGCTAATCACATAACTTTTCAAATTAGCATTTTTGTTGGCCTTTTTTTGAGGTTTCTTTTAATTCACATTACTCTGGCATTTCTAGAGAGTAATTAGCTGAACTGCGACTTGGTATGACATATAACAGGAGACCAGGTGAAAGACTCCTTCTTCACTTATTCTCCAGGGTAGGGCTCGTCTATGGGAACAGCTCCTTGTACAGCTCCCCACATCCACACAGAGTTTCAGAGTGAGCCCCACGTGGGTTACTATGGAGTTGGGAATGGATCAGCCTGCAACAGGCCAGAGCAAAACCAGCAGAACTCTTTATTATATGGTTTTGATGACAGTAACAATCTGTACAAATCTACAAACAATAGAGAAGAGATTGCAGTCTCTGTTATAAATGGTTGACTGCAGTCCTTAGCAAAGGCTGTGGCTTGTGTGGTAGATGTCCCAATACCATAATGTGTTCTACTCACATAATCCATAGTTACTCAAGACATTATGCATCAAAGGAGATTTCTCTTTAAGAGAGCAGATCACGTTACACATAAAGTTCCTAACCATTTCACTCATTTGTTTTTTCTAAATTCAAAATTTTGTGGAGACAAAAAGAAAGCATTATATAAAATGATGTTTCCACATAATCTTGTCTTAAAATCTAAAGAACTGAAGCAAGATCAAAAGGCTGCTTTGAAACTGAACCGAAATGAAATGTGTTTAAAAGTATAATTAAATTATTCTGACTCAAAACAAACAAGCTGTGCTTTGACTGCTGTAAGAACACTATATTGCAAGGGATATATTAAGTGATTTCAGAATACTTAAAAAAAGCATAGTTCTTAGCATTCACAGAGAGGAATAGAATTAAAAGTCAAAAGGTATAACCTGAGACTCCAACCTTGAGAAGGTGTTCCTGGCATAGTGCATAATACTGTCAAAGTCGTATGGTTCCCCAAGGGAGTTCACCTCTCCAGGCTCCATCTTCAAGAAGTTGTATTCCTGACCTATGAATGATTGATAATTAGAGTTTCTTTAATATCTTCTTTTGTGAAGATAAAAACCAAAAAGGAAAAGAAAAACAACAGAGACCCTAACCTAATCAGTCATTGACATTCATAAATCTTAGCCATTTGGGAGTAACTGTGTGATTTTAATAACCAAGGGGGCAAATATGTCTTCTGAAACACACATCAAATTCCTATATTTGGCATTTAGAAAGACTGTTCTTATTCACCTAACCCACATAAAGGCCCCACAGAGTATGCTGTGCTTCATGTAGAATCCATAAATTTTCTGTCTTAGTTCTTAATTCCAGAAAGACATTTTTTGACAGCAAAGACCCCCGAAGAACCCCCCTCATTGTAGACTCATTAGACGGGATATTAAAGAGACTTTTACTTCAGCAAAGGCTATTCCCTGAGCCCCCATGTAATACAAACACTACAAAGTCGCATTTTCAAGAGCCAACTTGAATGTTGCAACTTAATGAAAGCAGAAGAGGAACAAAAGAATTATACTTAGTTCATAATTCCAGACCAGAAGTTCTTTGACCTAATCAGTGTATTAAGAGATGCAAAGCACCCCTTACTCCAATCCATATTCCCATTGGTGTCTTGCAACAAAACTGCAGTTGGCATTAACATTATTAACCAACATAATTCGCATAATACAAAAAAAACCCAAATGTCTTGGCGGTCATCACTACCTGATGCCATTTAGCGTTCCTCGAGCTCATGCCACACCACAAGAAGTGGTTTCAGCTAGACACTAGAGACACAACTGAAAGGAGAGAATAGGAAGCTGAGGATGGCACTCAGACTGATTTTCCCCATCACATAAAAAACACAGGGGAAGAGCACATCTATACAAGTCAACGACACAGAGAGAACAGAAGGAAGCGTTGGATGCACCTGCCCTTTCAGGACTTCAGAGACTTGTGGAAGTGTGTATCAGCTGCCAGTCATCTTCTAAATCCTAGTTGAGGTGGCAAAGATTTATTGCATCTCAAATCTATTTTGTTTTAAAACATTTTTTTATGGAAACGGACAAATATTCCAATTGGACAATTTCTGATTTCACCCCTTCTTAAGCAGAGAATTCCCATAAGTCAAAATCAGTGTTTCATATTTTTCAACATTGCAAATTTGCCTCCCATATCTTGCCCACACAACACAAGGGTAGGCACAACAGCTAGACTGACAAAGAGATGACAGTCACAATTTAAAGTTCTCGGGTTCCTCAGATGCTTTGTCTCAACAACGCCAAGGCCACTGGCTAAAGCTGCAAGTTCTGTACGGAAAAAGTAATTTGGAAACTGTGGGAACAGTGCCCATCTTTGTCCCAGATTCAAAGTCCTCAGCTTACTTTCCAGGTCTAAACCTCTTGGGCAGCTAAAAAGCTATTGACATGTTTCTACTTATCATTCAGTAAAGACTACAAAAGAAAAGCCCTTTTTTCAAGCACAGAAACATGACTTTTAAAGGACTTCAAGAGCAGTGGCTTCCTTCAAAGTTTTTGAGCATGATTACTATTTCTCTCCTTCTAACCAGAACTATCTAATGGCTTTCTATTCAGCCAGATCTTTAGGAAATACTGTATTTTAGTTGCAGTATTTCATTTGTGAATCAGCTGGAGATCAGTGTAAGGGTAATAGCAGGCAGAAATGCTCATTTCTGCTACTAAGCGTTCAGTTTTAAGAGAGTTGAGCAAATGAATGAAAAGCCAAAAATAAACAAACATTTTCCCCCCACCCCCCCAAAAAAAATACTTGTCAGAATATCTCACCAGGCTGGATGTTTTCTCTAATGATGGTGACATGGTCATCACGGTCTGGTCGTGTATGTTCATGCCAAAAACCTATCACATGACCCAACTCATGGACAACTATACCAAATTTATCACAGTTCTTGCCAATAGATATAGCCTGGGGACCATTTCCCCTTCGACCCACATACGAACAGCACCTGTAATTAAAACATAAACACAGATGAAAGTTTTGATGCATATCTCTACAAACCATATAGGAAATTCAGTTAAAATATGAGAAAACATTATATCAAAAATTTAGAACAATGCACTATGCAATTTCTGAAGTCTCACAAACATTAGCTCTAGTGCAAGAACAACCTATTATTCAGAATACATAACAAAAGACACCTTTATCTTCTGGGGTTTTTTTTATTCACGATCTTCTTAAAAGTTGCTAGCTGTGGTCAACAGAATTGTCATTTGTGGCCTTGTATCTCAGAATGGCACAGGAACTTCTTTTCACCCAAAGAATCAATAAAAATAAAGTTGACTGGAAGTACCATCTCACCCATGCATATCACTGCTTCCTTGCCCAGGCACACGCAAGCGGCACACAGGGGGAAGCAGAAGAATAAGTCAAGGTTTTGTCTGTGCCATACTTCTGCTGTGTGTCTTGACAGCACTCACCAGACTCTTGGTCACTCAAGTTCTGATAAGCTTGCTTTATTTTGATCTGTAAAGTCACCCTACTTCATTAGTTCCATCTATAAAGGGTACAGAAATGATGAAAGTGAAATAGTTCTTTAAAAGATTCACTTAGTGTGCAGTTGAAAATAAAGAAGGAAAATATCCTGAATGAGATGCAGAATCCTGTGATGCCACTGTGGAATCTCTCCTCATTTTTTGTTTCTCTGGCTATGGATGATATACAGTATCATTTGCAACAACAGTATATTAGGGAGTTGAACGGTCTGGATATGTGCAAACCATTTTTTTTTTTTTCTGCCACTCCTGTTTTCTTGTAATAGGAACCTTAGTCCCAGAAAGTCATATTTTCACAAGAAAAAAAAAACCAACACAAACGACCCCAAAAAACCCCACTTTGCAACTGCTCTCATTTTTCATTCCTGTTCCACTGCACTTCCATGATTCCAATGTAAACTTACAGAACAGAGATGCCCTTTTCAGCATTTATCTGAGAAGTCTGCTTTTTGGTTAGCAAAAAAAAGTCTGATGACTATGTTAGCAAAAGGATAGAAAGGAGAGTAAAGCAAATCCTAACAAAATGGAAGACAATTTCAGGTTTCATAAGCTGATTCTCTGTTACCTCTGAAGATCTTAAATATTTCAAGCCAGCATTATATTCCCTAACAAAAGCCTGATTTCCCATCTCTGTTCTGTATATTCTGCAGTCTGTCAGGTGGAATGGAATTGTACTGAGCAGATGACCTCCATCCTCTCCCTCCTCCCCCCCTTTTTTAAAAAAACTGTTTTCTGATGCAACATTTACGTAGCAGAATATATTTGGTCCTTGAGGAGACCGATGCTAGTGTGGAGAATGATCCTGTCCTTCATATGCCTCTGTGGGCAATAAAGAGTACCTATGGGAGCAATACTGATAGCAGATTAAATTCTACAGAAAACATTTGCTTGTTTCTCCTTCTCAGGGTTTGTGGTAGCAAAGAGACTTTTCACTTTTGTTAGTTGGCCAGTCAGTCAGTCTTGGTTGGTCATCGTCATTGATTTTTGTTAGTGTCTAATACAACTACAATTTTAAAATATGAATATAAGAGAAATACAGCCAGTACCTGTTCTCGGTAAGCATATACTGGTTTTGCACTGGTTAGAAATCAAAGACAAAAATACCAAACAATGATAGTAATATCCTAAAATTATAAAGGCCACACAATTTACTTTATAGAGGAAAACATTATTACAGCAGCCTAGGAGGGTTGTATAAAGAATTTTGAAACTATCTTGAAAATACTGTTGGGAAAAGTTATTGTTCACATCATAATCATTCCTTGCCATCTCAACTGCTTCTCAAGTATTCCTACCCTCCAAAAAGTTAACTCTTTTCTTCCTGCTTTAGATAGTTCCAAGGATAGATATGAATCACCTTTTTAGGTCAAAGCACTGAATTAGGCTCAGTGCTTCAGCTAGAGTTGTGCAATATCACATTTAATTAATTTCTTAAGGAGTCTTTTCTCTTCAAGGCAGGTAAATAAAAACAATGGCAATTTAGACTCCCTGTTATAATTCTGTGCCATTGTCAATGTTGCAGGTTTATGTGCTACTGTTTCACACCACAGTAAAAGAAAATAAAGAACACCTGTGTATTTCACTGTGCATTTCCCTCACTCTATATAAACTGTATTAACACAAAATTACTATTTACAGAATTTATGATACAGAAATATTATCATAAACACTGATATAAATAATAGTAATGGAAAAGCTACCTTAAGGTGTGCCATAAATATAGCATAGGTGATAAAAAAGAGCAACAGATAGCAGAAATATTAAAATAAAAATTTAGACTAGTTACACCCTTTTATCTCATGATTCCACAGTGGATTTCACCTTTGCACTTGCCACTGTGACATGGTTTTGCTTAACTTATTTGTCAGACTGCATGTTTGCAGAATAAATATTATGGCTACAGATGAATATGTAAACATAATTAAAGCACTACAGATATTTTCAGTATCATTTTTACCCAGCTTTGTATCATTCATTAGTCACTCAACTATTTGCATATGCTTCTATTGTGCAATAAGGAAATTACCGTAGTTCATACCCTCTCTTATTCACTCATGCTCACCCTGGGGAGAAAAGTGTTTGGATCCTTATGAAAGTTTAGGGGTTTTAGTTGTTTTGTTGTTTGGTTGGGGTTTTTTAAAACATCCTACACAGTGTTATTTACGTCCCACCCAATTAGAGTGGGAATGGTGAGTACACACTTTGTACTCTGAGCCAAAAGGCAATAGAATTTGCAAGCAACCCTTCATTCTCAGAAAAGTTCATTCATTTAAAAAGCCATTAAAGACCTTCTGTCCTCAGTACAGAATTCCCAATTCCCTGTCACAGGCAGTTGTGTTATGTACACCAAACAAATTTGTCAAACACAGTTCCCAGGTCCCAGACTTCAAATCTTTTAGAAAACATTGTTCTTTATCTTTGAACACTTTGAAGTAAGGACTAAGGTGTGGCTTTTGCCTTGGCAGTCTGCAGGAAGCCATGGTAGAAAACACAAGAATCAATCAGATGAAGTAATCAACACTCTGTGAAAGCATATCACCGTTTCCATATTAGGTGAAGTTAATGAGCTAGGGCTTCCTACCTATGTTAACATCATTATGGCGACTATGCTGTAGTGACTTTAACTTGTGCAAACAGATAAAATTCACTGACAATGCCTGATGGTTATTTTAAAAATAAAAAAGCATGAAATGCATGCGATCTATGAAAATTCACATTACAGATTACCAAATACGGACAAAATTCCACTGATTCTTGCATAATTCGGGTTGGAAGGGACCTCAGGAGGTCTCGAGGTCTCCACTTCAACTTTCTGCTCAAAGCAGGGTCAGATACGAAGCCAGACCAGGGCTGCTCAGGTCTTTATCCAGTCAGGTCTTGAAAACCTCCAAGGATGGACATGGCACAGCACAGTCCTCTGAACAACCTGCTCCAAAGCTTGGCTGTCCACACTGTGAAAAACTTATTCCTTATATCCAGTCTGATTCTCTCTTTCTTCAGCTTATGCCTGTTGCCTTGCATTCTCTCACCAAGCGCCACTGTGAAGAGCCTGGCTCCCTCTTCTTGTTGCCCTCCCCTTAGGAACTGGGGGCTGATGCTGGGTCCCCCTGAAGCCACCTCTTCTCCAATCGAGCAAACCCCGGACCCTCAGCATCTCCTCACAGGGCAAGTGTTCCAGCTCCCAAGCATCTTGGCACAAGGCTTAAGTCCATCCAGGTTATTATTACCTTTCTTGTACTGGGGGCCCACAGCTGGATGTAGAATCCATCTGTAACCCAGCAAGTGGCGAGTAGAGAGGGATGACCCATTCCCTTGAGCCACCAGCCGCACTTCTGTTCACACAGGCCCAAACACTGTTGGCTGCCGTAGTGGTCAGGGCCCACGGCCAGCTTCTGCCCAGCTCACTGCCCCATGGCCTTCTCCAAAGAGCTGCTTCCCAACCCGGCACTGCCCGGCCTATCTTGCTCTTCCTTTGCAGGTGAAGGGCTTTGAATTTGCCCTTGTTGATCTTCATAAGGTTCCTGCTGGTCAGTTCCTGCAGCCTGCCCTAGTCCTTCTGGGTGGCAGCTCTACCATTGAGCCTATCATCTGATCCCCCTCAACTTGGTGTCATCTGCAAACTTCATGAGAGCATGCACTGTCACCTCTTTGTGGGTCATTGACAAAGATCGTAAAAGGGATAGGTACCAGTATAGGCTCCTGCGATATGGCACTTTCAGTCATAGTCTGAGTCCACGCCATTAACCACAACCCTCCAAGCCCAACCACACAACCAATTTTAATCTATCCAGTTTTGCATTCATCTATACTCCTGCAAAATATACCCTGGAGACATATTTAAACACATTTATTTAGATCCTGGAATTTAATTTGTAATTCAAAGCCTTTATGATGTGAATACAACACATGACAGCAGTGCAAGAGGTTGATGAGAACAAAGTTAGGATAACCACACATAATTACGAAAAGGCAGAACAAATCCTTTAGTTTAAAACAGTTTAAACACTTCTGCTGAGTCTTCACGTTTATCATTGTGTGGAAACTCTAGTTCTGCATTGCAATTTTTCCCTATAAAGAACATTAATAAATATTTATAGCTTAAAGCAAATCAATAGGTTAAGACTGTAGGTTGTAGAACATTTAATACAATTTTAATAGTTTTAGCATGCTTATGTTGTTGACTTCGTGTACATTACATGCTTCAACTAGCAAAACCATATTTGGTGGTTTAAAAATTTCCATAGATTTTCAATATGATTTTTGCACAGTGACACTTTGGAGACAAAGAGAGATAAAGGAAAAAGTGAAAAAATAATAAATAATTATTCCAAATAGTACCCTCCACAACATCTCCAGCTCTGCTTTGATTGACACTATTCACAACAAGGGCAAAAGAATAAAGCAAGGATTTAATTATTCTTCCTGTCCTTTTTACTTAATTTGGACCAAAAGA